AGGGGTACGTGACGAAGCTCAACGCGGCGGCGCAGACAAACGCGGCGCTCGCGCAGAAGACCATCGAGGAGATCATCAAGACAGAAAAAGGCCCCGTGTTCAACCTTGCGGCACAGATCTTCAACCACACGTTCTACTGGGAGAGCATGTGCCCTAATGGAGGCGGCGAGCCGACGGGCAAGGTTGCCGACGAGATCAAGGCTTCCTTCGGCAGCTTTGCGAAGTTTAAGGAGGAGTTTACAAATGCGGCTGTGGGCCACTTTGGCTCGGGCTGGGCGTGGCTCGTGAAGGACACCGCCTCCGGCAAACTGAAGGTTTACCAGACGCACGACGCGGGGTGCCCGCTGACTGAGCCCACCCTGAAGCCGCTCCTCGCCTGCGATGTGTGGGAGCATGCCTACTACCTTGACTACAAAAACGACCGTGCGGCGTACGTGCAGGCCTTTTGGAACGTTGTCAACTGGAAGCACGCGGAGAAGTGTCTTTGAACGCCGCCGCGCGCAAGGGGTGAGGCGGCATGATGATACGCCCTCCTTGCCCCGCGGGCGACCAAAGGTCTTCTTGTCGTTGGGGGGCATTAGTGAACACACCGCAATGCGAAAACAGGGGCGCGTGGGGGAAAACAGGAAAAAAAAAAGCCGACGGAAGGCAAAAACAGAAAAATAAAAAGAGCTGGGGGTGCGGAGCTGAGGAGGAAGGGGTTTGGGGCGGTGGGGGGAAAAAAGAAAGAGAGAAGCAAAGTGGCATTGTCGAATACGCAAAAAAGAAAAATCAAAGGGACCTCACGGACGGACGTGGGCCCACGGAAAGGCAGGTAAACAAAAATGAAAAAATTATATTCCCGGGTCAGTTATCAGTACGAGACCCCGGTGCAGTAAACCTTACAGGGGCATTTGTGACGTTTATATTGAGTTAAAAGAAATGAATGATTTGAAAGCGTTCTCAGCGACGAAAAGGGTGTTCTAAGGAGGAGGATTCAGACCCATGTCTTGAGCATGTATGGATATGATTGGACTGCTCCGTGTTTTCTTTGCTTGCGTTTCTCCGTGTTTTTTTGATCCCGCCTTTCTCTTGTGCCGCTCCCTTGCTGCCCTCTTTTATAGTGCTAGACATGCAGCCGAGGGCGGCGGGCGTGTGGCCCGTTTTATCCTCGCCGCCACCACTAACCGCCTCACCCCGAGGGGTTTGAGTGGGGGATGCGTGCGGGGCGGCCCGAGAAGCGGCGGGGAGGTGTGTTTTTCCTCCACTTTTCTGCCCTTCTTTCTTCACGCGGGCGGGGTGGCGTCCCATTCAAACCGGTGGGGGACGTCGGTGGCGCGCCGGTGGGCGTGAACACAAATGACAGCGGTGACACATCTGTGAAGATAAAAACAACGGCACGAAAGCAAGAGCCGAGTGAGAGAGAGGGATAGGGTAAATAAAAGGGCGTGGCGTCTGACGGGTGCACGTGCGGAACTCGTCACATGTGATGTTTCTCTATTTGCTCTCGCGGCTAGGCGGCGCAAACCATTTCCGCTAATTTGACCTCGCACGAGGCTTCTCCCTCCCTCTTTCTTCTTGTTCACTGCAACTAAGATGTGTCTTGACCTCTTCTTCGCCTGCCTTTCCTCCACAGTTACACCACCATTTTTTTTTTTTGTTGTTGTTTGCATCCCCCCGTTTGCTCCGTTGCAACCCTGCGTTTTTCTGCTGAAGTAGCCCGCAGACCACAATGAAGTTCCTCAAGCCCGGCAAGGTGGTGATCGTGACCTCCGGCCGCTACGCCGGCAAGAAGGCGGTGATTGTGCAGAACACCGACTCCAAGAGCAAGGAGCGCCCGTACGGCCACTCCCTGATCGCCGGCATGAAGAAGTACCCGAAGAAGGTGGTGCGCGGGATGAGCAAGCGCACCATCGAGCGCCGCTCTCGCGTGGGCGTGTTCCTGCGTGTTGTGAACCACAAACACTTCCTGCCGACGCGGTACAACATGGACCTGTCGAAGGAGCTCCGCGGGCGCATCAACGTGTCGGACGCGGCCAAGAAGTCCAAGTCGAAGCAGCTGGTGAGGAAGCTGTTCCAGGCCCGCTACAACGCCGGCGGCAACCGCTGGTTCTTCCAGCGTCTGCGCTTCTAAGGTGCCGCCTGTGAGCTACATTGTTTTTGATTTGTTGTTTTAATCCCATGTCACTTTGGTTGTCTTTTCCCCTCTTTCTCTGGTCCGTTCGGGGCTTTTGTGCTTTTGGCTCTTCTAGCCATGCCGTTGAAATCTCGGCTTTGCCGTGCTGCAGACGCACTCATGACTCTTTGGGTTCTGTTTTCTCTTTTCTCTTTGTTTCGCTATCAATTCTTTTCTCCTGCGCATTCAGTTGCCCTCGGACTCCTCCGGCAGCTGGGGCGGGCAGGCGTGGCCCGGCGGTGGAGCTGCCCCGCCTTCCAGGCGGCACGGTTGCAGTCCCTTTTTCTTTATTTATTCCCTTCCACCTACCGCAGAGAGCGGGAGGAGTTCCCCGCGCGAGGGCGAGGGCGAGGGCGACGCGGAGACATGCCCAACAAAGGGGGAAGGACACGCGAGCTTCTTTTGGGGTTTCATCTGCTGCTGCGCCGTATAGCGCAACAGCCCCTACGCCGCTCCGTGCTCGAGAGTGTCGGCGGCGTGTGTGTGTGTGTGTGGGGGGGGGGGAAATCGTCGGCGAGGCTTGAGATTTGTTGCTTCCTGCCCCCGAGACTTAAAAAAAAAATGGCTGTGGATGGAGGCGCGGGGGTTGTCACCTCGAGGCGCGAATGCTTCGCCTCATTGCCGGCCAAGTGTTTGCTGTTAGTCAGGGGCAACAAGGGCTGCCACGACGCCATTTTTGTGTACGTGCGCGCCACGAATAGTGGTGGTGGGGGCAAGTCTCCCTCTCTGCCTCCGTGAGGGACGGCGCGAGGGAGCTGGGGGTTCCTGGGCCCCATGGGCGGATCCACTTCAGTTTTTTTTTTTGTCGTGGTTGTTCCCGTCATTCCGTCTTTTCCTCGTCCTCTTTCTGCGCTGCGTGTTTCATTTTTCCGTTCTTCCCCCAACTTTTCCGGCGTGTGCTGCTCCTTCTTTCTCGCTTTCCGGGGCTTCCTCGCGGCTTCTACCGAGGCGGGTGGGAACACTGGGGCTGCGGGAAGGTGTTGGGCGGAAGTGAGGCGCGGAGCAATACATCGCCTTCGGCGCTGCCTTGGCGGCGAGGATGTTGAGGTTGCACCACGCGGTGCGGCTGCGGCTCCTCGCCCAGCGGGTGAGTGTTGCTGGGGTCATTTCTCCCTCCAATTGTGGGATGGCCCTACACGCCTTGCGACAGCTTGGCGCCTGCAACGCGCATGACCGCGAGCTCCTGAGGCGAGTCGACGAGGTCTACCTGCAGGCTGACCTCCGTTCTCGCGCCAACATGTTTCATTGCCTGGCATGCTGCATCCGTGAGCAGCACTCCGTCCACGCGGGGCTACCCAAGTCGCTGCCTCCGTTATTGGCGAAGATGCAGGGGAGTATGCTAGGCGACGTGGATGAGCTTTCCCCTACGGAGTGCATTTTAGTAATGGAGGGGGTTCTGAAGTTGACGCCCTACCGCTGTGCCACGCCGCAGTTGGCCGCTGTGCTTCGCACCCGCTCAGCCGCGCTTGTCGACGTCGTGAGCAACCCCGTTGAGCTCATCGGCATCGCCCGCATTATTGTGGAGGCGATGCAGGAGCCTCGCCCCTGCGCCGCGGGGGATGATGACGCGCAGGCGGGGGCGGACCACCTGCATCCCGGGTGGTCGCAGGAGCTTCGTGAGATTAGTGGGACGATTGAGTCGCGCCTAGACTCGTTTGGCAAGCAGGATCTGCTGACGCTGGTGGACGCCGTCACGCCCCGCGTTGCGCCGAGGACGCCAAAAGCAGCTCTGGCGAGGGAGAATGCAGAGCGGGGTTCGGGCGATCGGGCGATCCGCGATGTACCCGACGAGTGTCGGTCCCTATTGTTGCGGGTGCTGAGTAGCACGAGGCGGCGGGTCACGACACTGTCCCCGTCACAGGTGAGTGCTTGGCTGTTTCGTGTTGTGTGTCTCCATCGGCAGCACCACCCGCTCTTCCTGTCTCTTCTGCAGCAGCTGGATGATGAGCAGGTGCGGTCCGCCATGTCAGCCTCACAGCTGTCGACGTGCATTGAATCTCTCGCGGAGACGTTGCGTGCTTGCCACGAAGAAAACACGTTGAGTCACACAGATCTGCAGTTTGTCTCACGTGTTGTAGCGAAGCTCCTGGAAACATTGGTCTCTTCGCTGGAGAAGACAGGAGGGTCTAGCCAAGATTGCTCGGTGTACCTTGTACCTGCGACGCTCGCGCTATCGGAGGAAGTCGTGTCCGGGCGGTTGGCGCTTTCAAGCCCATTGATGGAGCGTTTGTTCCGTATGCTGTACTGCCACTTTGAGACGCTCAAGCCGCGAGAGCGTGCGGATGTCGTGACTGCCGTGTTCCTCTGGGGTCTGCTAAGGCAGGCACCCACACAGCGGCGGGAGCAGCGGCGGGATCAGCGGCGGGATCTTGACTTGCCGCAAAGCGGTGCGGGGGATGTGTGCTCCCCGGCTTTGTGGTGTAACGCCGTGTTGGCCAACGTTGACGCCTACAACGCCTTGGATGCGCTGCAGCTCATGAATGAGGTCTCCGCCGCCGTGTATGCGGAGGGGGCCGAGGGTGGTGCGGGCAGCAACTACAATCTATCGCTAGTTCGGCCCATGCTGCTGCGGCTGCACGAACGGCTGCAGGGGATGCAGGGGGACCTTCACGAGGTTCCGTCCTCCTGCCTCGCCCGTTACTTGGCGTCCATGTCCAAGTTGGGGCTGCGCCGCAAGGCAGACTACTATAGTGTGCTGAACATTCTGCAGCAGCGCGAGCTGACAGACTTTGAGGGTCTCCGGGTGCTTGGCGTTGTGGCACGTCACCACTTGCGCGCTGTGCCGCTGATCACGCATACGGTGCGTTCTCTTCCCCGCCTTGCCTCCGCGCTGCATCCGAAGCAGAAGTGCCTCCTCCTGAAGTGCCTTGGACAGGTGCGGGCGCAGCGCTTTGTGCAGGCACCGCACCACCGCTCTTTGGCCCTTGGGGCATTTTTGACACGTGACGAGGTGGCGAAGGAGATTTCGGTGCTGAGCGCCATATTTGCCCTGGTGGGTCTCGTGGATCTGCGACAATTTGAGAACGAAACTATCGATTGCCTCCTTCAAGGCCCGCTTTCCCGGCACGACGAGTTTGCCGAAGTCCGTTCCCCAACGACACTCAGTGAGCTTGTGGCCGCGCTGTGCCGTCTCGACCGACGTCGGGTGCGGACGGCGACGGTACAGGCCGCTCTGAAGGCGGCTGCGGGCCCGTTGGCGACCTCACGGAGCTTTTTTGTGGACCTGGCGGACGTTTCCTTCTGGCTGCGGTTGGTGCAGGGGCGGCCTTCTTTGGGGCCTGACGTGGTTGACGGGGACCGGCCCCGCCGCAGTGACGAGGAAGCGGCGGACTACGCGGTAGCCGTAGCAAACTACGTCTCTGCGGCGGCCGCGATCGCCAAAACACGCCTCCTGGACATCGCTGGCTCGAATGCCCTAAAGCCCAACACGTTCCTCTTCAGCCAGCTGGCGATAGGCTACCGATTAGGCGTGTCTCTGCCGCGCACGAGTGAGAGGCTGCTCTCGTGCCATCTGGACACGAAGCACCTTCCGCAGCTTCTCAGCGACCCACGGCAGGTGATAGGCGCCGTGACAACTGCCCGTCATATTTGGACTTTCAACCCCGGCGCCGCAGCGGAGGTGTTTCGTTTTGCCGAGAAGAACTTCGGCTCGTTGGGCGCACAGGAGGTCCTGTTGCTGGGCGTAGAAATGACCGAGGCGTTGCATGACGCGGAAGCGTCAGCAGGGCAGGCAGTGGAGCTCATGCGTCGGCTGCAAACGCTGTCGCGGCAGAGCTTGAGCGATGCAGCTCGTCGGAAGAAGTTGAGCGTGCAGGAGCTGGCGCTTGGCGCTCGTTACGGTGCTGTGGCGGAGGACTCCGTCCCCTCCGCTCCCCGTTGAAGGAGTTATGGTGACTGCAATACTTTTTCATCTTGTCCGGCCTTATTATTATTATTTTTTTTTTCTGCTTCTTGTTGTCTGTACACTTGCCTCCTCCCTGTTAATTGTGCCCTCGGTGGATTGGCTCGCTGACAGCACGCCTCTTCTTTCAATTTTGTCTCATTTTTTTTTGGTGGGGGGTGTTGATCGCGACTGCCTGAAGGGAATTAATAGCCTCCGGTTGCGAGCACCAATGAAGTTCCTCAAGCCCGGCAAGGTGGTGATCGTGACCTCCGGCCGCTACGCCGGCAAGAAGGCGGTGATTGTGCAGAACACCGACTCCAAGAGCAAGGAGCGCCCGTACGGCCACTCCCTGATCGCCGGCATGAAGAAGTACCCGAAGAAGGTGGTGCGCGGGATGAGCAAGCGCACCATCGAGCGCCGCTCTCGCGTGGGCGTGTTCCTGCGTGTTGTGAACCACAAACACTTCCTGCCGACGCGGTACAACATGGACCTGTCGAAGGAGCTCCGCGGGCGCATCAACGTGTCGGACGCGGCCAAGAAGTCCAAGTCGAAGCAGCTGGTGAGGAAGCTGTTCCAGGCCCGCTACAACGCCGGCGGCAACCGCTGGTTCTTCCAGCGTCTGCGCTTCTAAGGTGCGGTGTAATGATTCCCCTGCGATTACTTTCGTTTTTTTTTGTTTCCGTCATTTCTTAGCTTTGAGCGCCGTCGTAATACCGGGGGCCTCGACATGTCGTTTTTGTTTTGTTTTGTTCTGTTGCTCGTGGGCTGCCTGCTACTTCCTGAGATGCGCATGCGGCAAACACCTTTTTTTTTCTTCTCTCTCTCTCTCCTTGCGTTTTTTCTTTTTGTTTTGCTTCCTTTCTCTCTCTTTCGGCAGTTTCTCTAGTTTCTCTTCCCCTGCGTGTGTGCCCGGGAGGGTGCCCAAGCCGGGGTGGCTGGCGGAAAAGCGACGTGTGGCGGCGCGGTGCACACTGCGACGAGGCTTTATTTGATTCGCGTCTCGCCTCTCCGACGCGACCCTGAGCGGGATTTGCGTCCCTCGACCCGCGGCGATGTCGGAGGCGATCAGGTGCATCTCCGGGGCAGACCCCGCGGCCGTGCTGGCGAAGCAGCAGTACTCCAGCGGAGTCTCGCAGAACATGTTTTCCCCCTTTGAGAAGTTGAAGGACAAGAAGTGCATGATTGCGCCGACGCTGCTGAAGGGTGTCACCATCGCCAGGCTATGGGAGGGCGTCTTTTCCAACGGTTCCGACTTTCTCAAGCGGTACCACGACAGACGGAAGGAGACCGACCTGGAGGTGGGGAAGTGGGTGTTCCTGAACGACATGGGCAGCGGGTACCGCACCGTGTCGCTCGTAACTGTGGTGGACGTGCCCAGGGCGGGGAGCCTGACACAGCTGAACGAGGCCCACAGGTTTGCGTACGCAATGCCCTCCACCGGGGCTGTGACGCTCTTGTATCAAATTTCATCCCAGACCCCAAATGTTCCCGCCGGTCAATCGTTCCGCACGGAGGCCTTTTTAGAAGTCACGGCGGGCTCGCTCAATGGTGACTGCACCATCGGCATCTGGGGTGGGTGCAAAAAAATGAGCATGGCCTTCTCAGCCATCCAGTACATGGCGGTGCCCAGGGCCATTCGTGAAATGACGGCTGGATACCGGCTGATGCTCCAAATGATCTCTGAGGATTTGATGGGGAACGCCGTCAAGGTAAGCGCCGAGGACGAGGACGGGAACGTGGGCGTTCAGGGCGAGGCCAAGGAAGCGGACTACGGCGATGCCGGCACTTACCAGGCACCGAGTATGCTCTTCCAGGGCCTCATGCTGATGCTTGCCCTTGTTGTCACGATTGCAATTCTCTGCTCCATATCAACGCTGCGAAAAACCTCTCGAATAACAAACATGATTTCGGCCCAACTCCTTGGTGGCGACGTACACGGCGGTTCCGTGCGCGGCTCTCTGAGCGAGAACCTAAACTCGCCCTCATCCACTGGGGCGGGGGCTGCGCGAGGCCCATTCACACAAGACCAGGCACTTCGGTACGCGGCTAGAGATGCACAAATCCAGTCGCTTCGCTACCGTTGGATAGAGCAACGTGTCACCATACACAACCTGGAAGCCATTGTTGGGCGTCTGTGGTGGATGAGCACATTCCAGTTGCTCTTTATGGTGTTTTTGTTGCTAAAGATGTTTGTCCTCTGAGGCTTGCGACATTTGCAATATTGCCGCAATGACTATTGAGCTCCAAGGAGGCGTTTCTGTAAATCTATGTCCCTCTCTCTGCGTGTGTGTGTGTGTATAGTTATACACCGCAGGTTCCAATGCTGCGCTGCTTTTCGAGCCTTTGCAGGATGCTGCGCTGCATGGGCCCTGCATGGAAGCTATGCGTTCAACCTGCCTCTGTAGGCGGGGGACCGACGCAAGAAGTGCGGCAGAGTTCCATTGCACTTCGTTAGCCTCGTTCCGCCCCATCGAGAGACACCTTGTTCGAAGCGGGAAAATATCTTTAAAAAAGGAAAAGTCACAGATAGCAAATCAGCGAAGAAATGAAGGAAAAATACGGCAACTGACGGCTGCAGAAAGGTGCTTTGTATTTGCGGTACTGTAATACATAGGCGCCTGGATAAGGAGGAGTAGAAGGGATTCCTCAGACACTATATCAGTCACGTCCGGCTCTCTCGGCAAGAAATTGGTTTTCTTGCAAGGTGGCTTTTGCCTCTGCGTACAGTTGACCTCCGTCACTGTTCTGGCGGCGGACTGGTACGAACTGTGTCTGGGCTCTCAGGATGAGCTTCCGTGCGAGCGCAAAACGAACTTTTGCCGGTAAAACGGGCCTCAACGACACGAAAAAGCATGTTACATCACATTCCTTTTTCTTTTTTCTTTGTTTTTCTATTAGTCGTTGCCGGAACGCCTTATCCGCTGTCTTTGTCGTGTTTTTTTTTCCCTCCACTTCCTTGCGGGTGGGACTCTGGCTCGCTTGCCATGGAAAGGAGGCTGTGGTGGCGGTCAACTTTTTACCTCGGGATGAGCGTTGTGCGGCACGACAAGCTTCTCACTGACGAAGTGTGTTGGACCTGTGCTTGGACGCCGGTGTCGTTGTTGACGGTTGTAACACGGAGACTCAGATTCACGCCGTAGAAGGGGGCACCGTGAAGTTTGGCTGTGCGTTAGCCAACATAATCCTTTGAGTTTGGCGAGGGGCTCTGGCATGCAGTCTGAACCTATTTCCTTTTGCTTGTTCCCACTTGATGCCGCACCGCTGTGCAATGCGTGCATTGGCGCGATGAAGTGTGTCTGTTGTGGTGTGTAGGCGTGTTTGCATGCCGCTTTTGCCTATATCCCCACTTTGGTTTTCTCTTCTTTTTATCCCTTCACTTTTTTTGGCTGCATTGACTTGGGTTGTTGCCACTTGGGGGGTGGGGGGTGGAAGCGGCAAGGGAGCGGGCCTTGGGGAGGCCACACGTGGCGCGTGTGCCTCGTTGTGGTCGTCTGCAGTTTGCTGCTGGATGCCTTCCGTGGGCCCCCTCGAGGGGGCCGGTGTGGAGGGGCGACAGGGCGCCGCGCCGGGGCCGGCGGAGGCGGTGGAAGCGGGAGGCCGTGGCCCGTCAGGCCGGCCCGCCGGCGCAGCGCCACACGTGGCGGGGCAGCTGCCGTACGTATTGGGCTCGGCGGGCACGTGCGCCGTTCCGCTTTCGGAGGCGCTGGAGTCTGCGCTCTGCTCTACGGTGGAGGCGTTGGCCGCCGCTGCGGCGGAGGCCGAGGGCAACCTCCTCAACGCCTGCGCTCCGCCGCCACCCCCCCGCTGAGAGAACCGCAGGGCGAGTGTGCCTAGATGCCTCTGCGTCGGTGTGTGGCTGCGGCGCGAGACTTGTTTCATTTGCTCCAGTTGTAGCATCTCTTGCGGAACTACTTTTTTTTTTTTCTTTCTGTCTCTTTCCCTTCATCTCTCTCCTCCTCTCTCACTGCTTCCGCCACATTTCTTCCTGCAGCAACACAGAGGACACCGTCACAAGTGCACCGCCGCGGTTCTTCTGTCCGATAGTCGTTTTTTAAGCCGTTTTTTTTGTCTCTCTTCGTCTTGTTGGCGTGTGCGTAGGCGTTCCGTGGATGCGGGTGGCGTTACGTCTGCTGCGCAAGCGGGAGCGCATCCCCGCGCCGGGTAGCTCGCTCCTCAACCCACGCAGCCAGCGCGCCAAGCTGCGGAAGCTGATGACGACGCACGCAGCACAGGAGCATAACTTCGAGGCACAGGCGTTGTTTGCCGGTCTGGGCGGCGCTGCCTCTTCGCCGCCCGTGCGCAGCAAAAAGGGCCGCGCCGCAGCGGCGACGCACCGCGTTGGACGGGACGTGGCGGAGCGAGCAAAGTACCTCACAGACAGTGAGTGGGAAAGTGTCCCGATGGACGAGAAGCACGCGTTTACCAAGTACATGAGCCAACTGCTGCGGGAGCACCCCACGGAGACGACGGAGCAGCAGCGGCGCCGCTACTTTGAGACGACCATGGTCGACACCCGTGACCTCGACCCGCAGAAGACGGTCCGGGATGAGTACGAGCGCATTAAGCTTGGTTTGCCTGTGCAGTTGAAGAATCCGCAACACTCCCTTGGCGTCTCGCAGGCGGTGTACGACGCGGCGGACGCCTCGCTGTTTGACCCAGCGAACGTCCATAAGCTGGAGAACGCCATGACGAACATTAAGCAGGTGTTTGCGGACTACGTCCGCAAGAAGCGGGAGGGCGTGAGCACGGAGGCGGAGCGTCGACAGCTGGCGAACATGACGGCGGAGCTGAACCTGGAGACGCAGAAGCATCTCGCGAACACCTTCAAGTATGCGGAGACCCGTTTGCGCCAGGTTTCATTGGAGGAAAAGGAGTTTCAGTTGAAGGAGGTTGAGCGACTGCGGCGCGTGGCCCAGCAAAAGAGCGGTGGCCATCATCGTCGTGGGAGGCAGGATCAAAAGCCCGCACGCATGGAGAAACTGAAGCGGATGATCAGCCGGGCTGTTGGGTTGGACATGAACGTCGCGGAGACGGTTCTCACAGAGATGCGTGCGCAGGAGGAATTTTTGCAGTTTTGCGAGGTCTTTGCCCGTCTGACGCAAGGTGGTGGATTTCATCACACCTCAGAGGACGAGACGCTAAGCGCCTACGTGGAGAACCTGCGCAAGCTGTACTCCATGAACGCGGACACCCTGAGCACGCTGGATGTGGTGCAGTACTACGCCTCGAGGGAGGGTTCCGCACCGGTCGACTGGGCAAAGCGATGGTACGAGAAGGCGTTGCTGCTGCCGCTGCAGAGCACACCGGAGTATAAGCGGTTACTGGAGATTCAGCAGCGGGAGAGGGCGGCGTTGCAGGCGAAGACCGAGCCCACTGAGGCGGGCGACGCCCTCGCGGGCGAGGCGGAGTCGGAGGTTGCCCGGGTGAAGGTGCAGAAGGTGGTAAACATTGTGGAGAAAATGTTTATGAATCCCAGCGACAAGAGGTTGGAGTCGTGGCACGAAAAGCGACTTCGGTACTTGGCGCACATGCAGATGGAGCGACAAATAAAACGCGTCCGAGAAAACGCGAAACTGTTTGAGGGTGTCGAGTCTACCCCAGAGGCGGAGCAGTGCCGTGAGCTGTATAAGCAGATTCTCGAGCGCAGAGCAGCGTTGTGTGGGACGGCGGCGGCGGCGGCGGCAGCAGCAGGAGTAGAAGGGAGCAACACCTCCGATTCAGCTCAGGCTGTTGTGGCTGCCGAAGCACGCGTGGAGGATCACGAGCAGAAGTTATTCAACGTGTACAACGATGCGGAGGCGGCGGCCTTGTTTGAGAAGATTCGGTCCATCACGAAGCAGGTGATTCGGCAGCGACGAGTAGAGAGCGCTGCGGCCGCCAAGGCGCGAAGTCTGCGGCGTATTGTTCGAAGCCTGAAGGGAGGCGAGCAGTCCTTGGCAGAGGAGCTCCGTGCACTTCAGCGGCAGCGCAGAGACAGAGTCACACAGCGCCTTCTGGGAATTGTGGAGAATGATGTGAGGACAGAGATGGAGTGGCTAGAGAACATGGAGGAGGCGGAGCGTCCCCCGCTGCTTCCTGTTCCGGAGGGCATGTCGTACGTGTCTGCCGCGGATGTGCAGGCGTGGCAGGACATTCGCAAGGATTGTGAGCGTAAGGCTGGGAATCCATTTGAGCGACAAAAGCGTGTTTTTCAACCGGAGCTGCTTGGACAGACGTGGCGTGTGCCCGACCGGCCACTGCTGTTCTGGGGCACAGGTGTGTCGGCCGTCCAGCAGGCCCTGCGACACGCCGCGGAAGACGCGGAACTAAAGCGACGTGGCGTTCCCCTTGCTCCACCGTACCCGTGCCCGGAGAATCCATGGGGCTGGCGCCTCGCGAAGGATATTTTGGACGAGGACTGACATCCGAAACGAGCGAAATTTTGAGATAAAAGTCTGTTTACGGCGGCGTTTTTGTTTGTGGCACTTGTGTGCGGCCGTGACACATTCCTGGTTGTGGATGCATGCCTCTGTGTGTGTGTGTGGACGAGTTATCCTCTTAACTTTTTTTTTTGCGTGTGTGTCTTTGCGTTCTTTCTCCCATTCTCTCCACTTTTTTTTTGTTTTCCCCCTTGGTTTCCTTCTCTATGGCTGTACACATATATAGTTTTTTTTTTTTTGGGTGTCTGTTTTGCTGGCGTGCGGTGACAGGAAATGGAGGGCAGGTTTGTGGCACACGGCGAGGAGATGAGGGAGGAGGCGGGAACCCCGCTGGGGAATGAGCCGCACCCGCACCTTGTGAGTGGCTGCCCGTATGAGACGGTGAAGGTCGGCACCGCGGCGTTGTCTGAGGAGGATGACTCCCAGACGGGCATGAAGTGCGGTGGGGCCTACCGCGCCATGGGGCGCTTGAACAGCATTGTGCCCTACGGCGGACTCGTCTCGAACTCGTTCAACCTGGCAAGTGCGACGCTTGGGGCCGGTATTGTGGCGATACCCTCCGGATTCCGCGACTCGGGCATCGTCGTCGCCGCCATTCTCCTCGCGCTGTGCTGCGCCTGCACCGTGTACTCCATTCGACTGCTTGCACTCATCAAGGAGAAGACGGGATTTCGCTCATATGAAGAAATGGCGCGTGGACTTTTTGCCCGTGGCTTCGACTACTTCGTGGCCTTCCTTATGTTTATCTTCTGCTTTGGGACCTGTGTTGGGTACGTCATCTCCGTCGGCGACTTGCTCTTCCCGCTGCTGGCTTCCCCGTCGACACCGGAGTTTCTTCGTACGAGCACTGGAAAGTCTCTGCTGGTCAGTGGGGTTTGGCTGCTTGGAATGTTTTCTCTCTCGCTTCCGAAGGAGATCAATTCCCTTCGCCACGCCTCGGTGGTTGGGGTGAGTTTTCTCATCTTCTTCGTCGCCTGCATGGTCATACATGCCGCCAGCAATGGCCTAAAAGGGGGTCTGTCGTCGGAGCTGCATCTGTACAATGGTGGAAAAAACGCACTGAATGGGCTTTCACTGTTTATTTTTGCGTTTATTTGTCAGGTGAACTGCTTCGAGGTCTACGGGGAGATGCGGAACCCCTCACCGAACCGGATGACGCGAGACACTGCGCTGAGTATGACGTTTGTTGGTTTGCTATACTTTTTCGCGGGCTTCTTCGGCTACGCGGACTTCGGCAACGCCGTTGCTGGCTCCGTGCTGCAGCTGTACGACCCCGGGCATGATCTCTTGATGGCGGTTGCGTACGTTGGTATTGCGATCAAGCTTTGCGTCGGGTTTGCCATCTGCATTCAGCCGTCGCGCGACGCCGTCTACTACGTCCTTCGCTGGGGGAAAACGTCCGACGTCCCCACGTGGCGTAATCTTCTTCTTAGCGGGTTTCTTGCGCTGGCCGCGCTGATCCTCGGCCTCTTCATTCCGAGCATCACCGTCGTGTTTGGCTTCCTGGGCGGCGTGTGCGGAGGCTTTCTGGGCTTCCTCTTTCCCGCCTTTTTCTACATGTACGCCGGCAACTGGTCGCTGAGGGAGGTGGGCTGGGCGAACTTTCTCGCCACGTACTGTCTCATCCTCCTCGGCGTCGTCGCCGTGGTGTTTGGCACCGCCCTGACCATCTACGGCGAAGTCCACGGCTGAGGACGCCGAGGAGGTAGCGCTGTGGCAGTCGCCCCCCTCCGTCACCCCCCCGCAGGCTGCAGCAAGGAGGCGACGGCGCACGCACGCACGCGCAGGGGTGGGGGGGGGGAGGACGTTAGCGGGTTCCACCGGCCCAAGCCGAGCATAACAGCACTGATGGCCAGACGCGCCTGGCGTTGCCCACGCAATAACGCAGAACAAGTGAAGGCAGCTATACCTATACCTATATCAATGACTGTAACTATAACTATAAGTATATATGTATATGTACATATATATTCCTGTCTGCATGGGAGCAGGAACAACACCATTTTTGCCGACACAAGCTGGTTTTATTTTTGCCTTTGCTGTTGTTCCTTTGCCCATTTGACTTCGTTCGTATTGGACCGCTTTTCAGCTGCAACTCCAAGCTTTTTAGTTTAGTTTCTGCCCTTTTTTTTGTGTGTCGGCATCCATTTATTTTCTCACTTCTCTCTTACCTCCCCACCCCCTTTTTTTTTTCAGTTTTTTCTTCCTCGACGATGCCATTCTCTCGTTGTTGTACATCTTCCACTGACACACGCACACGCACACGCACACACACGCGAACACCCGTCCGTGCACTTAAGTAATAGAGGGTGCACGCCTCTCCCCCCTCTCTTTCTCTTTATCTCTCTCTCTATAGGGTTAGTTTCCCAGCTCTCTCTTAGTGGGTACGCCCCTTTCCTTTTTCTTTTTTTGTTTCTTTTTTTTTTGTTTTTCCTTTGCGTGCTTGTTTGCTGCCTTCACTTCTTTTTTCCCCTAATTTATTTTCAGTGGACCCTCGCGGCATGCCCTCTTTGAGGTAGCCCGTTTCAATTCCCTCGCTGCCTGCCTGTGTGCTGCCGTTTCCCCTCCCTCCCTCCCCAGCGTACTTCCTGCATTTGTCCCCCTGCACGGGCAACTCGCGGCAGTGAAGCGGGAGGCAAGAGGCGACACGACAGCGTGGCGTAAGCAAAGAAGAAGAAGGAGGAAAAAAGGTGGGGGATCTCCACCCGTGTACGCATGCGTTTGACACAATACACGATGAACACACACGTCTGCCTGTGCGTGCCTGTGTGCGTGTGTGCGCAAAGGCAGGCGCGTGTGGGAGTGCGACGGCTGGGAGGAAACGGGAGGAGGGTAAAACGAGGACGGAGGCGATCAACACACAGCTCTGGGCCTCGCTCTCCCCTTTGCCCCCGCACCCCTCACCTAAAGGTGGACCACTGCCCTCGACGGCGGGGACTCCACAGTTCTGTTGTATGGCATTCTATGCCTATAATCACGGTCAGTGCTTTTTGTTTTTATTGTTTTGTTTTCGTGTTGTGTCGTGGCGTGGCGTGTCGATTTTTCAGCCCAGGATGCGGTGATGTTACTTCTTGTCCCTCTGCCGCCACCAACGTACACATTTCACCATGTTTGCCTTCCCGTGCCGCCGCAAGCAAGCGAGCCGGGGGAAGAAAAAAAAAAAAAGAATGTTTGGCGCAGAAACGGGGACGGGCGCTGAGGCAGCGTCAGATCGAATGTGTGCGCGTGCGTGTTTGTGTTTTTGTTTCTGTGCGGCGGCAAGGCCACAGCCGATAAGTCCTCAAAGGGCACGTAAGAGAGATTGGAGCGAAAGCGGAACTCATTCATTTTTGACAGCGGGAGGGTAAGGAAAAGTAATTACAAAAAAAGGAAAACAAAAGTAAAAAAAAAAAAAATACTTAGTGCTTGGGCCACGTCATTTGGCGGAAATCCAAAAGTTTGGAGAAAAAAACATTAAATTCTTCTCTTCTCTTCTCTTCTTTTCTTTTCTCTACTCTGCTTTTTGTAGGCGAATTTCTCCCGTGGCTGGGCGCAAGGGAAGGTGAGGGGGTTGGGACGCAGGAGGTGATTTCGAGTTTCTCGGAGTGGGGAGACACTGTTGCGTCCCTGCGTCTCCTCCGATGGCCCGGCTCTCGCGCAGTTTGGAAGAGGCGGGGAGGGGGGAGGAGCCCAACTATGCGGCGCAGCGGATGGGTGCGTTGTTGGCGTGCCCTTAATTTGCCCCTTTTTTCCCCCTCTTTTTTCTTTTTGTCTGACAGCGGGCTGTGTGCCTGTGCGTCCTCCCATCGTCGTACTTTGCAGTTCCCACTTCTTTCCCTTCCTGTGATCCCGTTTCCTGCCAGCTAGGCGGCCGCAAAGCCTGCCCCCTCATGCGTTGTGCCGTGTAGGCGTCGGCGCTCCAAGGCTGGATGTGTTCCGTAGGTGCCCGGTGACGTGCGGCGGAAGGGAGAGGCGGCCGTTTCTTCCGTGCCGCCCTCGGCGTGCTGTGGCTGGTGTTTGGCTCACCAGCGCATGTACTGCCACTCCCTCCTCCCGCGCCTCTCTTTATTTCCTCCTCGACTTTTTCCCTCCGCACGGTGGGTGCCTTGCCTCCTTTCCATTCCTTCCCTCTTCTCCCGGGGCCTTGGTTGCCTCGCGTTGTAATTCGACTTCTAATCCAGCGCTGCCGTGTCAAGTGGCTTTGGCTGGTTTGCTGGTCGAAGAGATGTTTTTTTATTTTCTGGACGATTTGAGTGGATCTGAATTTTCGCTGCTCCCATTCAAGTACGTGCGCAGATATACAAGCATGCATGTATGCTTCTTTTTTTCCCCTCTTTTTTTTTTGGTGGCTTTCATTTAGAAATGTTCCGTCGGTGCAGGACCTACGGCCTATTTTTTTCATGTTTGTGCGTCCTCGCGGTGATTCAGATGTATTTATTTATGCCTTGGCTTGCTGGCCCTGCCAGCATGCAGCCCACCGAGCTGAAGCCGTGTGCTACAGCGGGGCATGCTCAGGCCGACGGCTGCAGTGCTTCCCAGAACCACCAACTGGGCTGGAGTGGGACGAAATGCGGTCGTGGCGCCATTTTGCGGCATGGGCCGCTGCGGTCCAGCTGTCTTGAGGCCGCCAGGGCGCCGCCGCCCGTGGCCCCCGCGTTCTGCAAACTGATTCTTCGCCCCGGTCCACCACCCTGTGGGGTTTTTGTCGGAGGGAGATTTAAAGAACCGCTGAGGCCTTTGTCCTTGTCTGAGCTGAGGCAACTGAGAGGTGGTAGCCGCGATGCGTGCACCTCGCGGTGGACGTACGACGGGGTGCAGCGCAACTCGACGCTCTACGTTGCCGAGAATGGCGAGGGGCTGAGCCCTGAGTTCGAGGTGCGACCGGCCTCGTGCCCGAGCTACCGCTACTTTACTCCGCTGGAGGCGTTGTCGATCCTGCACCACGCGAGCATTGGCCGCAACGGGCACGGAGTCCTTGTCACTGGTGACTCTATGATGCGACAGTTGTTTATGCGGCTGATTTTTTTTCTGCGTGGAAATGAGTTCTTTGCCGAGCACTACTTCCACTACGACGCGCTGTACGTCGTGTACGAGGATCGTGACGAGCTGGCCCTTTCCTTCACCTGCACCCATAGAGCCCTGCTGGCGAGGTACTTCCCTGGGTACAGGGTGGGCCGCAACAAGGAGGCCGCCTGCAACGAGTTTACACTCAGTGAGCGGGTTGTTGCCATCGCGTTATTTATCTGGGACCCCTTGGTAAGTGAGTTCCGCGAGGATCCCTTTCTAATAAAGGATCCGCCGCTGCATTTGGCCTCCTTCATGTACTGGTGGAGGCGTGGGGCGGATCGTCGTCAGAGTCTGGCCCGATATTTGGACCGCGTACGAAGTCAACGGGTTGCTAACGCAGCGAGAGCCAATGACAAGGCAACGAAATACATCTTCTTCACCACGCCCAGGACGAATGCTGTGTCTTCTCATATTCTTCCTGACGATGTGCGCCTGGAACGAAACGCGCTGGCGTGGGATGCCATCCGGTCGATGCAGAAGGACTGGGGTGAAGGCGGCGTGGGACAACCGCGAGTGTCGTTGGTGGACTTTGCTGCCTTGGTGGACGTGCAGGATGTGCACCGTGTGGGGGATTTGATGCATTTTATGTGCATATGGAATCCTGAAAGTCCAAAGAACGTTTCTAGGCAGGTTGTTAACCATATCTCGTGCGGGGACCCTGTGAATTTGGCGGCGCTGCAGTGGACTTTGCATTTGCTTTGGACAGAGCTATGGCCGCATGCTTTTTTTTCGTTATTATCGTAATTCTCTTTCTAACACTGCAGTGGTGCGTTAGGGTTGTGGCGTCTTTTTTTTTGGGGGGGGGGCTGAGACGAGGTATGGGCGCGTTTGAATGGCCTCGCACAAGTGTTGTTTACTGGGCCATTCTTCGCTGCAGGGGGGTGCTGCACGTCTTGGCTCGGTGGGGCTGGGCTGCAGAGGTGTAGGACCGCCGTTCTTTTGACGGCGCTTTCATTTCTTAATCGCAACTTGCGGCGTCGGCGTCTCGTGTTTTGCGGAATCTGAAGTGCGGTCCTCTGGCCGGTTCGATTGACCTCACGGTGAGTGTGAGTTGTTATTATTAGGCTTCCTGCTTTTTTTTGTTTCTATTTTTCTTGTGTGAAGGTACGAGCGAACAGTTGCGATGCCTGACTGGATAACGAGCCGCTTGTTTTTTCCTCTGCAAAGCGGAGGGCGGTGCATCTCCGCAGTGGATGCTGACAATAATCCCTGGCGATTGCTGGTCCTTTTTTTTTCAAGTGCAAGATGAGAGCTGTGGGGTGGAGTTGGGGTTGCTGCTTGTACCTCGTTTCGTTTGTCATCTCTGCTTGTTGTGCTTCTGACTCTCCGTGCCTCCGCGCATAATGGCGGTATATATTTTTGTTTTGTTTTTGTGTTGTTTCCGCCTTGTAGAACTCCGCGCAGGAGGAGGTGGGAGTGCACTGTAATGGAGGCGGGGTTGGAAGCCGTGGTCGCCGCGCTGCAGGGGCGGATTGACCCGAGCCGACCCTCCCCTCATCCGTCGCGGGCTTACGGCATTGCGTGGGAGTTGGTACAGGCACTGGCGGCGGCGGAGCGGCGGCGTCAGCTGCTGCGCCTCCTCACACTCTTTGAGCAGTGCCAGGAGGACTGCACGGCGGGGCACGTTGTTTCCGCAGGGGCGTTGGTGTCTGCCGGCGGCCTCGTGTCAGACGACGACGTGCGTCGCTGGGAAGGGGCGATGCATTCGATGCTTTTGGCCCACCCGTCGTTTGCGAAGGACGTCGTCTCGGCTGTTTGCTTTTGCGTTGCGCAGATGGCCGTGCGGTACGGCTCCGTCGCGTTGGTCGGGGCGGCGGGGGCGTCACTGCAGAACGTTGCGGCGACCGCACGTTTGCCGGAGGAGGTTGCGACGGAGCTGCTGGTGGAATGCGCCGACGCCCTTGTGAAGGCGCACCGGGAGGAGGGGGAAGGGGCCGCAGACGCTGCGGAGCAAGAGGAGTTGGGAGGAAACGATGGGCTGCGGGATGCATTGATTGGGTACGCGTTGGACGCGCTTTCCTGCAGGCGCTGGGCTGTGGGGCTGAGTTCTCTTCTTTCCCGCCGCGTGCTGATACCGCTGCTCCTCTGCGGCGGCCACGAGTCCCTTGGCAGCCACCATGCGCGCGTCCAGGCGCTGCTGCGCTCCCTCGCAGCGGAGACGGCGCGGCAGGAGGAGGTGGTCGTCCTCACCGCGGCCCTTTTTGAGTATTTGTTTCGCTTTACTGACGGCGACAAGGACCGCGACCACCGCTGCTCCCCGCAGCTGTGGAACACGCTCCATGCGGCCTTCTGGGATGCCCTGACGTGCGACGCGGACGCGGGACGGCGCGGCAACATGCAGTTGCGTGTGGAATACCTCTTAAAGCGCATCGTGGACCTCACGCATGAGCAGGCGACGCGGAAGACGTGGGATGGCAACGTCTTCTTCCATGAGTACTTTGTCTGGACACCCGCGGTGAGCCACAACCAGTGGGGGTTGTTCTTTCTTGTTGCCGAGGCCACCAACGAGTTTGGGCTGCACATCATTCAACCCGCCCTCCCGAAGCTCGACGCCCTTGTGGAGGCGTTGACGCAGGACGCTGCGGCATGGGCCGCCGTCAAAGCTGGCGGCAACGACGACGCAGTGACGGCGCGAACGCACTTTGTGAGCGGCTTTCATCCGGCGTGGGTGGAGCTGCTCTTTTTGAAGATGCTGCTGCATCCAAACACGGCCGTCCGCAAGGCCGGGCTGCGGCGGCTGTGGTCGCTGAGCACACCGGTGCTGAAGCTCTTCTCAAGCGTGTTTCTCTTCACCAACGCCGTGGAGGCAGCCGTGGACTCGCGTCTTTGCGCCGAGGTCGACCGCGCGCCGCATGTGGCGATATTCTCCATGGCGAAGGGCTTTGAGGGCGCCGAGGTGCGTGCGCTGGGGGGAGTGGCGGGACCACTTGCGGATCAACTTGAACGGTTTTACGCGCGCGTTTTTCGGGATGTCTTGCGCACGGCGCAGGAACGCAAGGAGGCCATGTGCCGCTTCTTGCATGGCTTTCTGCAGCGTCCCAGCGTGTACGGCGTGACGATGCTGCTGCGTCTTCTCCACGGCGTTGCGGAGGCTCTGTCGCTTGATGCTGAGGAGAGGAGTCGCGAGGCGACCGTGGAGATGGTCACCGCTACAGAGTTTCTGCAGACGCTGCTGCTTGTCTTGCGGGACGCGGCACATGACGGCGTTCCGTTTTGGCTTGATGTTCGTCTCAGCGCCGTGGCCTTTAGTGCGCTTTTGCACTTTGCCCGCATCGATCCCGCGGTGGTGCGCCAGTGCGACGGCTTCTGGAAGCTGCTTTGCGTCTGTGGTCCTCTGGGGAGTCCCGGCGGGGGCAGCGCCGCCGCCATTGACGCCGTCGGCCACATTGGTGCTCTCGGCACGAGCATCCACCCCTGCTTTTTCAACGAGCAGCTGCTGCGGATGTCGAGGGCCGCTCCGTTTGGAGGGAGCGAACTTGGGCTCATGCGCACCTTGCTGCGAACCGATCGTCTGCGTGAGGAGGTGCGGCAGTTTCTTCGCCTCGCCGCCTTTGACGAGGTGCGTGGGAAGCAGCTCTTCTTCCTTTGCGGCGCCCTGCACCTGGCAGAGCCGGAGGACCGGCAGCTGCTCGCCGATGTTGCGCAGGAGATTGGGACAACGCTTCTATCCTTTGAGAAGCGGCCGTACAGCCCTGCCGCGTCTCTCCTCACGGCGTTGGTTGCGTTTGTGGAGTTTCATCATTCCGTTGGAACAGTGGCGTGCACGCGGTACTACTCGCCGTCGATGATCGCTGGGCTGCGTGGCACTCTGCATACGGTGGCGCTCAGCGCCCTTCGCCAGGCCACCCGGGCGATGGCGCACGTGAACTCCTTTGAGGATTTCCGCGAGGGGGCGTGGGCGCTGCAGCACACTGCGGCGTGGGACGTTGTGACGGCGGCTGCCCTCTCTGCAGGCCAAATCGCCGTTGCCCATGACCCCGCCGCTGCAACGACGTGGCCGCAGTCGCAGGCGTGCGTGACGGACGCGCTGGAGTTGCTTCTTTTAGACGCCGATGGACCTCCGGCCGCTGCCGCTGCAGAGGACACGGTCAGAGTGACTCGGCACTTTGCCAAAATGGTTGTGGCCAGGAATATCTCTTGCCTGTTGCAGAGCGTGCTCTCCAGCCTGATCGCAGTGGAGGCGCCAGGCAGCGCAGTGGAAAACGTGGACACGGCGGAGGTGGCATGCCGTTTTCCTCCCGGCACGACGGACCCTGTGCAGTGGATTCGGTGCCTCATGCGGTGCCCTTCCTTGCGACTCCTGACATGCGATGTGCCTTGCCCGCTAACCAGCCTTTCCTGGGCGACGCTCTTGGCACAGTACTATGGCGGCGTGTACAACGCCGTCTCTGTCCTCTGCGGCTGCGTGGATCCACAGGAGAGCCAGGAGTTGCTTCTGGAGCTCCAGGACTACGCCCTCGACCACGTCGAACGCTGCTGGGGCACAAACCTTGCAAGTGTGTACGACATCCTTGCCTGGGTGGCCAACGGCGCGGCGGCCACGGGGCGGGACGCGGGACTCGGCAGGGGCGTGGACCACCGCGCCATCATCGACGCCATGTTTGGGCACTTGAGGGATGTTGGGGCGAGGGAGCACGGCAGGGTTTCCGCCCTCGCGTTCAACGCCCTCCGCTGCGGTGTGGCGGAGCACGTCGACTTGGTCAAGTCACACATCGCAAGGGCGCTGCGCGATGAGGCGGATTCGGAGCGCTCGGTGTACATGGCGGCAGTGACCATAGCGACGGAGGTGCTTCGCGACCCCGCGGCGAACTGGCCGCGCCTGAAGGATCTCCTCCTGCACGTCGCCGTCTTGTACAACTCTGGGCGCGACGAGGAGGGCTCGGAGATGATGGTGGCGGCCACCGAGCCGGTGCTGCTCCTGTGGCCCGAGGCCCTGCGCGTACAGTACCCGCCAACCGTGCGACTCTCGGCGGTTGGCCGCGCCCTCGCCATCGCCACCATCCTGTGGTGCTGCCACCTGCGGCATGACTGGGCGACGTCGCTCACGCTGGAGCTGCTGGACTGGAACACCAGCCACGTCGCCGTCAAGCACGAGCCATGCATGCCGAATTCCAAACCCCATCGCTGTCGTATTCGTCTCTGGCAGTTGCTTTGCGCGCTGCTTCCGATGATTGATGACGACGCGGCCGCGCAGCAGAGCATTTTGCGGCGCGTGGTGCAAGCCTGCCTGCCCCTCACCAACATGGGCAGCGTGAGGCGCCTGATGGAGGTGTACGCGCTAAAAATACTGGAGCGCCAGCCCGCGCTCTACACCCTGCTGGATGCGGCGATGACAAACTACAGCCTGCGGCCGCAGGTCTGCGGCAGTTATCTCCTGATCATGGCGCACATGATACTGCGGCAAATTCGCGGGGAGGTGGCCTGCGTGGACGGCCTCTTTGCGGCGCTGCTGCATCGTCTCTTTCAGCAGAGCACTTCGCACCAGCACCTGCTGCGCATCATCTGCCACGTTGGGCTCTACCACATCCACGCGGCCTGCGCGTCGCGGGGGGTGACGTTCCCTCCTACGGAGGAGATGGTCTTCGACTACATTGCCCGTGCACCCGAGCATGTGAAGTTCCGCGACAAGCACGCGGAGCAGCTCTTCTTCAACCTGGCGGAGGCCTGCAGCCCGCGACAGCTCTTCTGCATTCAGCGGAGGGAGGGAAGCACCATTCTCATGGAGAGTATACCGGCCGCCGCCTTTGAGCGGATGCGGTTTCTGGACCACGAATTTCGCTGTCTCATCGGGGCGCTAAGCCCGGTGGAGATGCTTCGCGTGCGACGCATCTCAGACCGCATCGACAGTCGCCGCCTCCTCGAACCCTTCAAAAACTTTCCGTACATCCCACACACGGCGGCCCACACGACTTACTGCGTCGATTACACCGCCGAGGCCGTGGCACTTCTCATGGAGGACGGCAGCGAGAACAAAAAAAACAACAGCAGCAGCTGCGGCGGCGGCAGGGACACAAATAACAGCGTGGGCGACGGGGATGAGAACATTCAGCGGAAGGTGACGCCGTGGTGGAATAGCCTGGTCTACAATGAGCTCCACCCGCGGGCCCTAAAACACAAGAAACGACAAACCATTATTGTGGTAAGTTCGTTGCTGCAAAACCCTGTGAACGTCGCCGGCCTCTTCCGCTGCGGTGAGATCTTCACGGCGGAGAAGATTGTTGTGTCCGACCCGGCCGTCTTTGAGCACCCGCACTTCGTGGCCGCCGCGCGCAGTGCCGAGCTATGGCTGCCGTGGGACGCCGTGCCGGCAAAAAGTCTGCCGCCATATTTGGATTCCCTGCGGCGCGATGGTTACACGCTTATTGGCATTGAGCAGACGGCAGGAAGCGTGCCAATGGCGTCGTATCAGTTCCCCAAGCGCGCTGTTATCCTCCTCGGCGCGGAAGGCCACGGCGTCCCTGCGGAGCTGCTACCGTTACTGGACGTATGCGTGGAAATCCCACAGTTTGGACTGATTCGTTCGCTTAACGTGCACGTCACCGGCGCCTTGGTGCTGTACGAGTACACCCGACAGCACCTTATGAGTTAGGCGTGCGCCTTCCTTTTTTTAAAAAAAAAATAAAAATAAAAAGTCTCCCCCCCCCCTTTTTTTTTCTTCTTCCGGTTGTGTGCTCTGTACTCGGTTAGGATTGCCCCTTGTGGGTGGCGGGTGCCTCCGTCTGTGGGTTGCGCGGCGCAAGCCTCTTTCAATGTGTAGGCGGTTTGCTGTTCACTGTGGCGCCCCGCGCCTGATGCTTCTTTGACCCTTCTCTTGCTTTTGCTGGCTCTTTCGCCTTATTCCTCCTTTCTTTTGTGTGTGGGAGAGTACACTGCTGCGGATGCAGGACGAGGCGGTGCGGGCTGCACTGGAGAGCGGCGCGTGGCGCGAGAAGAAAGACCCCAAGTCCGGCAGGACGTACTACGTTAATGCACGGACGCGCGTCTCGGTCTGGAACCTCGCGAGGGAGCTTTCCAAGCCGCAGCAGCGGCAGCCCTCCGCGGGGGAGGCTGCGCTGAGCAACCAGAGGAACTTGCAGAAGCTGGCGGCGGAGCGGCAGGCGCAGGCGAGGCAGTGGCAGGCGGAGGAGGAGGCGCTGGTGCAGCGCGTGACAGAGCTGGAGCGGGAGAAGGCGCAACTCGAGAGCGAGGTCACAATTCTGCAGGGGCCGACAGAAGCGGAGGCGGCGGCTCTCCAGGAGGAGCAAAGTCGGCTACAGGACGCGAAGCAGAGTCTTGAAGTTGTTGTATCGGAGGAGCTGCGGAAGCGGCGGGAGGCTACGGCGGAGTTGCAGCGGCTGCAGGCCCGTTTGGCGGCACGGCGGGAGGAGCGGCGGGAGGAGCTGGTGGTGCTTGAGTCGCTGAGGAAGCGACTAGAGCATCTTCGTGAGGAGCACGCGGAGGCCTTGGCGGATCTGCGGCGGGAGGAGGCGGCTGAGGAGTCGTTGCAGGACGGGCTGCAGCGCGAGGAGCGGCAGTTGGAGGATGCGTTGCGCGAGGAGGCGCGCCTCAAGGAGTTCCTGAAGCTGCGGGAGAACGAGGTGGACCGCATGAAGGCGGCGCTCAAGGCCGTTTGCCAGCGCAGGGCGGCACTGCAGCAGCAGCACCAGCAGCTGGCGGACGAGGTCGCGCAGGGGGCGGTGGGGGCGGCAGCGGAGGACGCGGCAGGCGGGCCCCCGGGGTTCTCCCCCCGGCTGCTTTCCCGCCTGCAGCGCGGGGTGGCGGCGCGAAAGACGCAACTGCAGCATCTGCGGCGGCAGCAGCGACTTGGGTCGGAGGCGGGGTGGATGGAGGCGGAGACCGCCGAGCTGCGGCGCGTTACGGCCTTGACGGAGCGCGATGTGCGGCGGCTTGCGGAGTTCTCGCGAGAGTTGAGTGAGCAGCTGCGGGCGGTGGCGCCAGTGCTGGAGGCCGTCAAACGTGAGGTGCAGCAGCTGGGGGAGGAGGAGGCACAGTCGCAATAGCCTGACAGGGCTTCGTTGGTGGCTGATGCTCCGCCCATTCTTTTAGTTTTTCTTTTTTTTTTTCCTTTTTTTTCTTCTTGTTTTGCTTTGTTTATCGTGCTTCATTGCGGCTGACGGGCTCCCCAACGGGGGCTGAGGTGCCTCGTTTCCCCTTTCTTTTTTTTCTTTCTTTCATTCTTCCCCTTACACTCTCAGCCTGCCCTTCCCTTCCCTTCACTCCCTGCTTCTTTTCTCCCTCTTGTTGTTCGCGCCAAGGGATTTAGTCGCACTAGCGAAGCACTGGCAAGAGGAGGAGCGGAGGCGAAAGACATTCCTAGCTGCCCCTTTGCTTGCGTTGTTGCCCCTCCCTTCGTCTTCCGCGCCGCCGCTCTCGCTCGTGGCGCGGTGACAAAAAATGCGTCGCTCGGCCTTCTCAACGGGTGCCATCCCTGCGGTTGCGGCTGCGGCTACGGCTGCGGTGGCCCTGCAAACGTCTCTCAGGGGCGGTCTCGTGATGCACACGCCGAAGTCTGAGATTGAGTTGGGCCGCTTCAAATTTATGGATCAGTACAACGAGTTCCGCAACCGCTCCGGCAGAGCCCCCGACTACTACGTGGAGAAGTACCGCGACACCTACTGGCGCGTGGATGAGTACATACGCCGGGCGGAGAACTACATCCACTCCCAGGGCTATTTTTACCTACCAACTTTAGAGTTCCCGTGGTACAAGGGATGCTTGCCGCTCTTTTCATCGTACCAGATTCGCCTTCACTACGGCCGCCACCACCGCGCCTACGTGGAGAAGCTGAACCAGCTGATTGAAGGCACCTCGCTGTACGGCTCCAACCTGGACGAGATCATCAAGCGCACACACGGCGACGTGATGCTCATCGGCGTGTACAACAATGCAGCCCAGCACTACAACCACTGCTTCTTCTGGAAGTGCATCCAGCCCTACGGCAGCAACATTCCGCCGGACTTGAAGGCGGCTGTGGAGCAGCAGTACGGCGCCGTGGAGACGTTCCAAAAGCTCTTCACGGATGCCGCGGCGAACCTGTTTGGTAGCGGCTGGGTGTATTGGGTCTACGACACCCGTTTGGGTAAGTTTGATGTACTTTCGCTGCCCAATGCGGGGTGCCCGCTGACCAACACGCAGGTGGTGCCACTGCTGTGCGTCGACGTCTGGGAGCACACGTACTATGTGGACTACGAGAATAACCGCGCCGCATTCCTCGCCAAATACTTTGACGTGGTAGACTGGCACTGGGCCGAGCGCCATTGGAAGCGGGCGACAGGACAGGAGTACTACGAGATGAAGTACTGGTAGGACACTCACGCCGCGGAAGTCAGGGGAGGATGCATAAAAAAGAAACGCAAATGCAACAAAAGAAAACAACCACACACACACACACACAAAGGCACAAGAATGCCAATAACATGTAACAAAGCGTGATTTTTGCCTCTTTTTCTATTGGATGGGGGCGTCTGAGCAGCCTTTGGAAGCCCATTCTTGACATATGCACAAGTCTGTGTGTGTGTGCCCGTGGAGTGGGGAAAACGAAAGACAGTGAGGAAACGGAAGGTTGCATTTATCTGCCTGTAGAGTTGGGGTGCCGCCATGAAGAGTACGGGAGCGATAATTTGGTGCTACAGTGGGGAAGGGGGCAGGGTAGTAGTTAGCAAACAACTTTTGTAGTGTTGATGTGGGGGAGGGGGAGGAGGGCGGGATCTTTGGGTAACGTGGAAGAGACGAATAAGTCTGTGGGCTTCAGGGAGCTTGGGCCCGGTTGGGTTGGGTGGTGGTGGGGGCGCTTATGTGCATATTTCTAGCGGTGCTCCGTGTGGTGAAGAGTGGCGGCCTCCGGTGGAAGTGCGGCGACCTTGAGATGCGTGAGTGTGTGTGTGTGTGTGTTTATTTTATTTTTTTCTTGTTGCAGGTCCGCGCGACGAGCGTGGGGGGTCTGTAGTGGAGAGGGCAGGCGGTGCAGGTGAGTAGTGAGCGGGGAGAGGGGGAGGGTGGGGGATGCGCGGCGAACGGGAAGAGCGTGGCCGCTTCTCTTCCGCGGGGGTTGGCAGACTGTTTCTCTGCCTGCGCGCCCGTCTGTGTCTGTGTGTGCGAAGTGACGGTTGAGTGGACTCCCCCGGCCTTGGGGGAGTCGCCGGCCCACCGACCGGGAGCTGTGTGGCCGTGGCGTCACGCTCCCGCTGCTGTTGCTGCCCCCACGGCTGCCTCGCCTTTTCTCCCTTCCGTGTTGTGGGTCCGGCTCTAGAGGCAGTAGCAGCTCCCTGGCGTTTGTCGCCAGCGCTTATATATTTATATATTTTTTCAAACTCGCGGCTCCGGTCCTTGCGGGGCGGGTCGCTGCTGAGAGGCCGAGTCTGTGGTGCTGTGCCTAGGGGGGAGGGGGCGGCCGGGCAGCGAGAACTGTGTCGTGAAAGGGGGTGGGGGGTAGGGAGGGCGAGTGACGCCCCGCAGAGGCAAAGACAGAAAGAAGAGAAAGAGGTCAAGGAAAGCGGCGTAGAAGAATGATGCGCCGTAGTTGTCTCGTGCTTAGCGCCGGCATGGTGGAGTACCATGAGTGGCACCTTCATGAGCCGCTGCTGCAGAACTATGAGGGCTGGCGCATCCTAGACAACCCACGCTACGAGAAGAAGTCCGATGCGTACATCTACGACTTCACCGGGAGCGTCCGCCACCTTGACCCCATCATTGACGATCCACGTCTCACCCACAAGCAGCGCGTGTGCCGACTTTACCGATGGGCACTCAAGGAGCTGCAAATGTGGCTCATCCAGCTCAACGCACACAAGTTCAACCTTGCCTACAAGGTGGTGCGGCGGCGCTTTGAGATGTATCGCTACGTCACGGATCCGGCCATGTGTGATATGATGGTGCGCCAGACGCAGAAGTACTTGCGCGAGAATGCGTGTTTTCACTTTCTCCGCCGCAACAACGGCTCGCCGTGGTCGACGTACACCCTTGCCAACCCCATGTTTCACCCCGACGGGTCGCAGGTGTACGACCATTGGACTCACCCAGAGGTGATGTGGTACGACGACGCAAAACTGCACAGGTGGTCGTCGCACCACCCGATGTACGCCGGGGCGGGAGAGATGTCCGATCGCTTTGGCGACATGGATGTGTCGCCACATCTTCGTCTCCTAACGTGCGCGTTCTTTGGTTGCGTCTTTCTCTACGCTGTTTGCAGCTTCCTTGCCGTCTTTGACCGAGACGTGGACCCACACTTTGAGAAGTGGTGTGCGTCGTTCGACGACAATCTGAAGGGGGCGCTCTACGCGGCGGAGCGGAACTCGCGCAGCAGGGCGTCGATGCTGGGATGGGACTGGGACCGCATCATGGGGAAGGTCCCGCAGCAGAGTGGCTTCCACTTTTACGAGGTGCGGCGGTTCGAGTAGAGGGGCGGCTGGTCGATGGCCTTGCGGCGGGCGCGTCGTCCTAGTCGTGGTAGCAGTAGCAGGCGTAGCAACGGCGCTGCTGGCGGCGGGGCGCGACGCAAAGGGGGTTGGATGGGTGGGTGGGGGATGGGTCACATCTTTGTTTTTTATTTTTAGCTTTACGAAGTAGCTGCAGTTTATGAGTAGCGAGCGGTGCACGTTTGCAAGAGCCTGAGGGCGGGAGTAGTCGATGTGGTGAAAGGTGAGTGCCGTGGTGTCCGGAGTGAGGGCCACGGCAGATGGCGTGGATGCATTTAGCCAAGCCTTTCTTTCTTTCTTTCTTTCTCTGTGGTGCTGGTGGGGCCCTTGCGCAGTGCTGGGTGGGTGGGTGTCGTGCGTGATGTTCGTGTGCCCTTTCTTTGCATGCCTGTCTTGTGGAAGCCTCTCCTCCGTTCCACCTCTCCGTCTTTGTTAGTTCGTGCTGCTCACTGGCTGGGCCGCAGGGAGGCGGCGACAGGCGGCGTAGAAGTGCCAGGGCTTGACGGGCCTCAGCAGAAGGGGAGGGGAAGGGGCGGACTCCGTTTGGCGTGTCGATCGGGCGTGACTCCGCCTTGGGGCGTGAACTCGATGACGTCGCCGTCGCTGGACGCGGGCGAACAGAGCGCGCTCTCCGCCGCGAACGGGCTGGGGGCGGCGGTGGCGTGCCTGCACGACGACAGCGTGGACAGGCAGAGCAGTGACAGCGCCGCCCGGGTCGACTACCAGCAGCTGATGGAGTCCCACCGGCGGCGCGCGGCGGTCATGGCGGAGTACCGGCTCATGGTGGAGCGGCGGCGGCGGCAGGGCGGGCAGCCGCCCGCCGAGCTCGAGGGGGCGGCGCAGGCCGCCGGCAGTGCCCTGAGCGCGCGCTGCAGCGTGAACGCGATGCCGGCGTCGGAGAGGCACACCCCCAAGGCGGCGTCCCCCGCCGCCGCCGCTGTGTCTCTCACCTTATCGACGACGACGACGACGACGACGACAGTTGCAGCGGCCAGCGTGCCCTCGCGCCCCCGCAAGAATTCCTGCAGTTGGTCACGGCCGCGGGGGGCGCTTACGGGCAGCACCGTAAGCTCCGCAGCGAAGCAGCGCCCAAAAGTAAACTCCGCGCCAAACACCCCGCGGGGGCGGCGACAGAGTCTTCTGCGGCAGAGCGGATCAGGTGGCCTCGCCGACAGCAGTCTGTCGCCGTACTCGACGCCGCCGCGCTCCCCGCACGGGACGTCGCGGGTCCTGCACCCCACACAACTTGCGTGCCGCCACGAGCCGGCAGGGGCGGGCGAACTCCGCTTGACCGCAACCCCACCGCTTCGGTCGCCGAGGGAGCCGTTCGCCGACGCGGCCGCCGGCAGCGTGAGTCCCCCCGTGCCGCAGCAGGAGCCCGCATCCCACGACACGAAGGCCGAGGGCGATGACGGCGCGAAGGCGGTGGGGGAGAGGTTTCCCACGAGTCAACACGGTGGCCCCGCGTATATTTTTGTCTCGCCCTCACCGTCGTCTGTGTCCGCGACGCCGCACTGCCCCGACGCCACCACGCTGGAGATTGAGACCGAGGAGGACAAGCACCTGCTGCAACAGCAGCGGGGGCCGAATACGGAGGCCTCTTCCGTGCACAAAACGAGGACTGCTTCTGGAAAATTCGTAGAAGGTAGCGCACCACCGTCGCAGCAATCACAACGGCGTCAGGCACCGGCACTAGAGCTGGTGGCCGTGGGCGACGAGGAGTTGCCCTCCTCTGTGATCTCCGACTCCTCTCACTCCATCACCGAAATGACACCGATGCTCAAGCGCTTTGGTCGTCAGGCGGAGGAAAACGTGTCCGAGTGTAGGCGAGCCGTGGAAGCTTCGGCCCAATCGGTGGTGCAGCCGCAGCAGCAGCAGCAGCAGCAGCAGCAGCAGCAGCAGCGGCAGCCCACCGCACCGGCGAGCCCCCCAGATGACGTGGCTGAGGACCCACACGTGCATGCGGCAGATGACCAAGGAAGGATGACGGAACCGATGCGTTTTGCGCAAACTGCGGCACACGAGATGCCGCTGCGGGGGGCAGCCGGTGTATCTTCGGGGCGTGGCAGTGGCTTGACGGTCGACGACAAAGCCGCATGCATAGCTACCGTGGCTGCTGTACTGCAAGGAATTCTCGTTCAGACCCGCCGCGTGCTTCCGTGCTACTACTGTGGTGAGGCGCAGTCACTCTCCGCATATCGTCTGCACTTGGACTTCTGTAAGACTCGCACAGAGGCCCTTTACGCCCGCTACGGGCTTAATCCGCTGCGTTTCATCATGAGTGTGCCTGTACTCCCCATTCCGGCGTTCATGGCCTCGGATGCGGAGAAAAGCGCGTTTGCCAAGGCTTGCTACCGGAGCGTGAAAGAGTCCATTGTGCCGTGCCCGGGCTGCAACATGTCCTTTCGCATTCACGATTTCCCAGAGCATCAAGGCGTGTGCATCGGCAGCGCCACCAGCCGCAGCCGTGGCAGTCTGCGCGCAAGCCAGAAGAGGTGATCGCGCGGCGGGTTAGGTACCGTACCCACAACCGCCCAGGCACAGACACAAGCGCCGTTAGATAGATAGAAGTGGCGTGCGTGAGTTTGTGCTTGTGAGTGTGTGGGTGCGTGGAGCAAATATCAGTCGACGAAAAACGAGAAGGTGAAGCTTGAGGGACAGGCATGGATGCACTTCCCTGAGAAGACGCGAGGCAGCTAGTCACTAGTCTGCTGCAATAGTAATAAGAACAGCAATAGCAACAAAATTGCATCACATTGATCGCGTCGTGGGTTATCTTTTTTTTTTTTATTGTACCACGTGGCGCTTGCATTCATTCAGTCACTCGGTCAGCTTTACACATGCCAATGGGCGCTTGCACTTAACTTTTTTTTCCCCCCTTTTGTGTCTTTTTCTTACTTTGTGAGCATCCCATTTTCCTGCGCCCTGTGTCTGTGTACGTGTGTCTCTGCCGCCATGGCGCCTGCCCGCGGCTTCTCAGTGGCTTCCCCGCCCCTGCCTTATTTCATGTACCCCGTCTTTCTCGTGCGTGTAGTATGTAGAGGAAGCTGCAGAGCAGCGTCTTTTTTTTTTTACCTTTCATTTTACAGCTTCTTTTCCCTTCGTTGTGTGTGTCGCGACTGGCGGCGGAGGCCCCGCAACGCAAAGGCATTGAGGCATAGACCAAAAAGGCGGGCCAGCCGGTGCGGAGACAGTGGAGAGTAGTGTGAGGCCGGCAGAAAGCGCGTTGGGGGATGGCTGCGGCGTCGAGGAGTCAACTCACCACGCTGCCGTCGCAGACCTTGTCGTTCGTCGACGGCGGCGGTCTACAGGAGCCGCAGCGCCTGTTAGAGACCTACGACGCCGCGGTGAAGGAGCTCCGCATCCCTGCCGCTGACAAGAGGTTCTACGAGGCATGCTTTGCGGCCCCCGTGCGGGAGTCGCTGTCGGCATGCGGCGGGGACGCAGGGAGTGACGGGCCGCGGCGCGAGTTGGAGGGGCGCTGCTCCCTCCTCGCGGGTCTCTGCCAGCATCTCGAGAGGCACCGTGACGCCACCGTGCGTGTGCTGCAGCTTTGCCAACGCCGCGACGAGCTTGTGGAGGGCATGCTGCGCATTTGTGCGCTGTACCAGGCAAACGCCGCGCTGCCGTATCCGCCACCGCCCCCTGCTGCCTTCATGGAGGCGCTTGAGAAGCATCATCTCGTGACTTTGTCTATTGTGGAGGCCATTTTTGACTGGCGGGAACAACTCTCCCGCCCATTTCCATTTGTTGTCGGGGACGAAAACTACCTCTACCGCATTGTAGATGACTGCAGCCTCCTGGACTCCAGTCTGCTGGGAGGCGTGCTTCGACTGCGGCTGTCGCAATACCCGCTCTCCTCTCACATGGCTTACGCTCCAGTCCCAAAGCGAGGGCGGGGCGTGCTAAAACACGGCGGCGGCGGCGGACTCATTTGCCGGGAATACGACGAGACACAAGCTGTCCTGCAGGGGGGACCTTCGCTGTGGCGGCGTCAAAGTTCGCAGTCCGGGTCGCACGACGTCCACGCCACCGTGAGGCGACGGTCCCCGCCCAAGCCGAGTGGGAACTACACCCAGGCCCACCTGCAGTGGGCTGAGGAGGTGATACAGAAGGAGAACGTTCTCCAGCGGCGGCTGATCAGTGAGTTGTTGATGAAGGCAAGGCAGGGCCTCTTTGCGATGCTGCTCGCGACGCCCGACATTGTGCGCGATGCCGCTGAGGGGATTCCGCTTCTGGAGGGGAGCCCGGGCGCGTGGCGGGAGAGGATCATTGGGGCAGCCGCCACAGCCGCGCCGGGGACACACAGCCCCGATGAGGCGGCAGCGGAGAGGCGGCGTGAGTCAGCTGCGGGGGAGATGACTACTTGCCCCAGTGCCGCGGCAGCAAACCAAAAGAGGGCTCACCCATTTTTGCCTCCCCGAGGAATTCCTTCTCCGCGTCGTCATTCTCTTCCCAGTTAACATTCCCCCCTGGCTTTGGTTAGCCAATGACAGCGGGCTCTGGCGTTTGTGCCAGACGAAGCCGCTGGTGGGGAATGAGGGGGGGGGTATTTTTCTTCTTTTACACATGCTTGGGGGATAGCTGATGGGAGTCTTCATTTCCACCCTTTTTTTTTCTTTTTCTTTTTTTCAATTTGTTTTGCTGCTCTTCCTCCTTCTTCTTGAACGACCCTGTGGGGTTTTTTTTTCTTTCTTTCCCATTTTGCTCTTCATTTTGCTTCCGTTCCCCCACGAGAAGCCCTCTTCACATGCCTTGGGCGTGCATGCATGTTTTTTTTTTCCTGTATGAGTATCCACAGCTCTTCTCTCTCTTTCTCTCTCGCTCACTTTGCACTGGGTGCGTTTGCGTATTGGTAGCCTCTGGCCGCGTGTACTGTGCAGGTCGGGTGAGGGCGTGCGCCTCTCTTCCTCTTTTTTCTGTAGGTTGCATTAGAATCGTGGAAAGGACGCCATGACGACCAGCGAGTCGGCGCCCGCGCATAGTGGCGCTGCCGTTCCAGGCGAAAACCCGGAACGGCACACGCGCGCCCACACTCACGTGTCAGACATTGGCGATTCAAAGAAGACTGTGGCGTTTAAAGAGTTCAGGCGCTCGTGGCTGACACCGTTCTTCGGCGCCAACGAGCCGGAGCCGGAACTCTCGTGGGGCAGCGCACACCCCTGCAAGGTGTTTAGCCGGCACGTGCACGAGTGCTTGGAGCAGCACGACAACAACGTTGACTTCTGCCAGACGAAGTTGGCGCTGCTTCAGTCATGTTTAGATGAGTTCAATATTTAGCACCGGTGGACGGTGCCAAAGCGGGCAGGGGGTAACTAGGGCGAGGGAAGGAGGGGAGGGAAGGGGAAGAGGTGCAGTAGGGAGTACACCGATGGAGGAGAGAAGAGTAGAGAAGCGGAGAGGGTGTGTGTGTGAGAGTGTGTAGCATATCTAGAGCGAATTTGGCAGCCGCACGTGACCGCGCCCACACACGCGCCGTTCCTTGTGTGTTGCCAAGATGTGATTGAGTTGCGTCCCTCCTTTTTTTTTTGTCTTTTTTTGATTTTGTTCTCTCTGACGGTGTTGTTTGCTCTCTTTTATGCCTGTTGCAAGGCGGCGAACGTTGCACTCTCTGCTTCCTCGTTGCGGGCGCTCACGTCTATTTCTCTGCCTTTCCCTCCCTCACCTCTTTTTTTGTTTTGTTTTTGATTTCTGGCGGTTTCCTCCCTGCGCCTCCGCCTCCGGGAGGGGGATACTTCTGCCCACACGCACACGCACCCCCACCCCCACCCACCCACACACACACACACACACAGACACAGAGGGGAAGGCGGCACCGGCCGCTCTGCTTCTAGCTGCCGGCTGCTGGCGCGGGGGATGCAGCCCCTCCACACCGTCAGGGCCTCCCACGAGGACGTGGGCGCCTACGTCCTCGACGGCTGCGTCTGCGACGGCGGCTCCTCCCTCTGCCTTTCCCTCTCCGACCACTCAATCCGCTGCTACGACACCCACGCCGCGAGTTTTCTCTCGACGCTGCTGGGGCACACCTGCGCCATCAAGGACGTGACGTCGTCCGCGGCGCAGCCGACGCTGCTGTACTCCGCGCAGGAGGACACGGGGGTGATGATTTCGGACCTGCGGCAGCGGACGCCCGCGCACTTCCTGAGCGAGTTCTGCGGGGCCGGGGCGACGGGCGGCACCGTCGGGGTGACCCCCAACGGCCAGTTTCTCGGCGTTGCCGTGAACGGCGACACCCACATCGTGGACACGCGCAAGTGGCAGACGACGCACGTTGTAGCAAACATGCACCTGGACGAAATCACGCGGCTCCGCTTTCTCGACGACACGGTGTACTGCTCGGCGGGGGAGGACCAGATGATCAACTTCATCGATTCCTCCGCCGCGGTGAAGGAGAACGACATGCTGCTGCAGGCGATCTCCTGCGGAGAGGTCGTGACGAAGATGACGGCGTTTCCCGAGCTCGGCGCCTTGGGACTCGTTGGCTCCTGCGAGAACGCCTACCTCTGCCCCTTTGACCTGCAGGAGCGGGAGGCGCGTTACCCGCGTCCTGACGACGCCACGTACCTTGTGGACATGTGCGTGCTCAATGGGCAGGTCCAACTCGTGCGCGGCGTGCGAGACGAGGAGGGAAACGCCGGGGCGCTCTCCCTCATGAATTGGGCCACGCGCGACGTGGTGCAACTGGCGCCTGTGCACAAGGATATCTGCCGCATCGCCGTTGGCGTCGGGGACCGCCTCATTACGGGCGGTGAAGACAGTCTTGTGGCCTTCTGGCGCACAACGGATGCGGCGACTGCTTTACCCACGACGGCGCCCGCAGACGCCGCCGCGTTGGGGCGGGGGATGATGAAGGCGCGCCACCACGTGACGAGACCACTGCGGTCCATGCCGTACGCGAAATGAGGCGATTGAGCAATGGAGCGGGATGGGCAAGGAGGCGGCGGTCCTCCTGTTTAATGAAGTAGTAAATCCATGGAAAAAAAAGAAGGGGAGTGGGAGGGGGAAAAAGAAAACACGCACCCACAACCACTTGCATACATGCATTCGCCCACACGTGCATGGAACGTACATCTGTACTCCCGAAACACGTGGACACGTTAAGCCTGTCGCAGCTGGGCTGCGATGATGGATTTCCCGACCTGCATCGGGTGCTGCGGCGTTTATCCTAAAGGTATCCCACAGACTTTCTTTCGTGTTTCCTTGTGTGTGTGTGTGTGTGTGCGTGTGCGTGTTTGTGTTGGATTCTTCCCGCCGTTTGTCACTTTGCTTGCACTTCTCTGTCTGCACAGGCAGCACGTCTCCTCTTCCCTGCCCCTCCCATCCCTTTCGCATTGTGTTCTTTTCCTACCACACAAACACGCGCACACACACAACTGCGTGCATGCATGCTCAATAGTACCCCTCGCAGGAGCGCCAGCGTCATCGGGGGCGTGGACTGTGCAGCATGAGGTCGCCGGCTTCCCCCACGGCGGGGGCGACGGCGGCGGAGGGAGGCGCGCCGCTGCCAAGCTCCCCCGCAGCGGCAACAGGTGACAGCCCCACGGAGGACACGGCCGTGCTGCCGCAAAAGGAGGGCCAGCAGCCGGGGGAAGAGGGTGCGGCGCGGGGTGAGGCACAGGGCCCAACCACCCCGATGCATTCCGCCATGAAGGGAAGGAGTGGACGGGAGCGCAGCACCGACCTGAAGCCGCGCTTCAACCCCGACGTTTCCGTGATTGAAACACCCAGCTACGTTCTTGTGATGAACGGCGAGGAGGGCGAGGAGGAGGCTGAGGAGCTTGCCGTATTCAACCGCCTTTACGAGGAGGCAAAGGCGCGGCTTGAACGCGCCAAGGCGGCGACCGGCAGCGAAGCCGAGGCCGCCGAATCCGACGCGAAGGAGTGCACCTTTTCCCCCGATGTGTCAAGCTACGCCAAGCAGTTGGGGAAGTACGCGAACTTTAGGGAGTTCCTGCTGAGCCAAGAGGAGCACAGGAAGATGAGTGCCATGCAATTTGGGAAAAAGAAGGAAAAGGTGTTGAGCGAGGAGCGCTTGAGCCTCTTTGAGGACATGCCGCGGAAGCACAGTCTCCGCATCATTGCATACTTGGAAAAGGAACGCCAGTACAAGGGCCCCATAAAAGGATGGCGTGAGCGCTTTCGGGCGTACATGAAGAGGCTGCAGGAGCAGGACCGGGAGCTGACGCCGTGTAAGTCTAAAACCCACGCGGATGCGTCCTCCGTGCACAGTGCACCCCTTCGTGACGACGCCGTTTTTGAGCGACTCTACGAGGAGGCTGCTGTGCGGGCGAGGTCGCAGCGCGTTGTGACGATGACGCAGCTGGAGAAAGAGTCCCGGGAACTGTACTGCCCCGTCACAAATGAGTCCGAATATTGGGCGAGTGGGAGCCAAAGCAGCGGGGCTTCCCACAGGAGGGGGAGGAGAAGCAGCAGCAGCAGCTGGGGCAGCAGCACTCAACGCCGCTCGAGCCGCAGTGGCCACACTGCTTCCGCCCACCGGGATCCCAGCGGCAGCGTCTTCGACGAACTCCATGCCATGAGCGAGGAGTACCGTCGTCGCCGGGAGCTGCGTGCGCTGGAGGCTATGAGCAATCGGGAGGAGTTTACATTTCGACCGGCGACAAACCCGCAAAGCAGCAAGATCATCATGGAGCGTGCCATCGCTCGCGCGAGGGGTGAGCTGCCGGAGCGCGCTACGAGGAAGCAGGGGTCTGGGGAGACGGAGGCAGACTCGCAGGAGCGGCGGCGCAGCAGCGTTCGGTTCAACCCCGACATTTTCTGCTCACGACTGCAGCGCAAAGAAGCTGAGCGGCTGTGGCGACTGGCCGCGCTCCAGCGCAGTTTGCGGCTGGCAGAGGCCTCGGAGTGCACCTTTCGTCCGAGCATTTCCCGCACCAGCCAGGCGATGGCGCTGCAGAGGGGCTACGGCCAGATCACATTTGCCCCCGGGTCGCCGGATGCATCCCCGCCTCAACCACGCCGCCACCCACTGGGGAGCGGGGAGGACGACGACGAGGACGATGACGGGGTTCCCCGCCGTGGCGATGGCAGCGGCACTCCTCAGCGCGACCTCCTCCGCCACCGCCCGCGGCCCCAGCAGGAGGCCCCTCCTCGCCGTAGCGGCGGCAACGGGGAGAGGGCGCGGCGTGACGCCACTGGGGCGAAGCGGGATGACAGCAGCGGCGAGGCGACGGTCGGACGCGTGTTTGATGTCGCGGAGTCGGAAGGCGGTTACATCGCCGCCCTCTCGTCGGAGATTCAGGGCGTCCTCTCCCAGTGGTCGGAGGCGGCAGCGCGGGCGAGGGCCACGACCTGAGCCAGGGCCCAAAGCAGGGCACTCAGGCAAAACCACAAGGCGGCGGCAAGCGTAAACGACCACAACAACAACAAAGCCTCCACTGAACTGAAGTACAATACCAGAGAGAAGCAGGCGTAATATTTCTATCTCCACCCCGCATGCGCACACGGCGGCGGCGAGGGGGGGGAAGGAGGAACATAAAGGAAGGGGCAGAACACTTGTGTTGTTGTTTATGCCACTGCTGGATTGCTTATTATTATTGTTGTTATTGTTATCATTATTATCATTTTTTTAAAAAAAACATTGCCCACATCACCTGGTGTCAACGATATCTACATGTGCACCAGTTTACGTACGAAGCGTTTGTTCTGTACGGATTTGGCTTTCTCGTCATCATCTTCTCCCTTACGGACACCACGGCGGCAATGCAAGGCGTCTCTGTTTTCGTTTACCACCTCTTTTTTTTATTTTGTTGATTTATTTTTCGTACGTTACTGCCGCCAAATACATAAATATATATATATATATGTTTTATTTTACTTTTTTATCGACCACCCGCATGACTGCTTCCCCCTCCCCCCCCACCCCACCCACCGATGCCTCCAAGACGTGAGAGCGATGACGTCTTCAACGTGTGAAGAAAATCAACACATTCGATGCGTGTCTCCAGACACACACACACACACACAAACGTGTGCATCAGCCCCTTTTCTGTCCCTCCCTCTGTGCGGAGGGGATGTTCTTTGCATCGGGGGTGGCGCTTGAAGGGGAAGTGTAGGAAATATACACATAAATACTTCTTTGCTCTTCCCTTCCTTTTCTCTTTTGTTAATCCTCTCCACGTTTGTCTTCCTCCGTGTTTGCTGCGTGACTGCCGGCAGTGGAGCGCGGGTTTGTGTGCGTGTGTGTCTGTGGGAAGTAAATAAACACAAGCAAGGCGACATACGCGGGGTATGCAGGGAAGAAAGCCGGCAGGAGGCACGGAGGCGGGGAGGGAAGAAGCGGGGGGAAACAGGAGGGATGAAGGAGGCTGGAGTCCGCGCGTGGAAGCGCCCTGGACAGTGGCGTGCTTTGGTGCCGTGCTTGTGACCCTCTGCCTGCACTACAAGGCACTTTGCGAGGACCGCACCGAGTTGTCCCTGCCGGAGCTAATCACTTCGATGGAGACGCGGTGCCGCTCGTTGGGCGACGTCTTTGAGCGCCCCGTGACGGAGCCGCTGCTGCACCCTGTGCCCTCGCAGTTTGGCGTGGCGGTGTGGGTCGAGCGCGAGCCTTGGTCGCTGCCGGTGCACGACGCACTCGACCGCATTGAGGCGGCAATTCATCGGGGCTCATCCAACGCTGCCGCCGCGGTGTCGGGGCCGCGTTTAATTCAACGCATAGTGCGCGTGACCACAAAACGGTTGCGGGACGGCGGTAGGCGGAACGGCACTGCCGCTCTCGGCACTGCCGCGGCGGCCCAACAGCTTGGCTTGGGGGTTGCCCAACACGTCAGCATAGCGGATTTGCGTGGGGAGGTGGTGATGTACGGTATAAGTTTCTTTTGCCGAGCGAGCTCGGCTGCCAGTAATTCACACGTGGAGTGCCGCTTCTTTGATGCGGGGCGGGCGTATTGCACCATTCCAGAAAACGCCACCTCGGCGTGGTTGTCGCGGGAAGTTCCAGCCGCCGTTGCGACGTTGATGTCCCGTTGGCTGAAGCTCGACAGCTTTCGCGACGTGGCCGCGGTGCGGCGGTGGGCGAAGGAGCGTGAGGCGCACAGCTGCACCTACGCCCTGCGCGCCCTGCGCCAGCTGGAGCGCTCCGTCGCGACCCACCCCGACATGCCAGCGCCGTTAGACGTGGCTGAGACGGTCCGTCGGCTGCGGGCGTTGATTCACGCCGGGGAGTTTATACATTTTGCACGGGCCGCCGACGACCTGCAGTTTCACCCACTGCTCCTGCCCCAACTGTACATTCCGTGGGATCAGGCGCTGGTGATTCACTCCTCGATCCTGCTGCCCATGGTGGTGGTGGCGGTGCTCGGAGTGCGCCTGACCGTCGCGGCCCGGAGGCGGCGGCGCGATGCCGCAAAAAAGCAAGCAACATCCAACCTGAAGAGCGACTGACCGGAGGAACACCAATGGGGAGGGAACCGGGACACTCTGCTCCCTCTCCCTCCTCTCCTTTGTTTTTTTTTCTTTTTTGACTTTTGCTTCTTTCTCTCCTCCATGGTTCTGTGCTTGACCTCTCCGGAGAAAGTCCCTCCCCCGGTGTCTCGGTCTGCACGCGCAGTTTTTTGCCCTGCCTACGCCCCCTGGGGCGCGGCCGCTGTTTGTGCGTGGGCAAACGTGCGTGCGCTACCCGAGTGAGGTGCGCCTCAAGTATTTTGCCGCTTCTTTTCTTCCTTGTGGGGTCCCCTGTTCGTGCGCAGCGGCCCCGCGCGCCCCTTCTTTAGTTTGCTCTCCCCCTCCGGTGGCTTTCTTGGTTTGCTTCCTGCATGCCCAACGGCGCCCCCACGCCGACCGGGGCGGAGGCCAACCGCCAGCCCCCCGCCGCGGCGGAGGAGGCTGACGGCGACATCATCACGCGCCAGCTGTCACGCGCCCGCCTGTACGGCCGCAGCAGCAACACCAACGCCAACAATCACAGCGCCACCCCGGCCACCTCCAGCACGGCTGCCAACAACAAGAATGACGGCGGCGGCGACGGCCCCAGGTCCACCTACAAGAAGGTCTACAAGGTGAGCATTGACGGCGACGACGGCGACAGAGACTTCCTCAAGTGCGCAGGGATGATAGCAGCCATCATATCCTCGCGGCAGGCGTACAAGGGCTGCGACAAGGGCGAACTGGAGGTTTCCTTTGAGTCGGATGCGCTGGACCTTTTCACGCAGCTGCAGGGCCAGCAAAGTGGGGATGGGTGTGTGCTGAAGTTCGACGCCGGCGTGTACCGGTTTACCGGGATGAAGACGGAGATAGTGCCATGGGAGACGTACGTGCGTGACGTCAAGGCGGTTTTCAGCGCCATTGAGTCGGGCCCCTGTCTTTCCACCGCGAGGACGCGGCTCACCACAATTGCTGAGAAGTCGCAGCTGTACTTTCTCTTGAATGGCGGGGTGGAGCTGAGCTACAACAAGGACATGCTCGGGGGCGGAGTGTACGCCATCTGTGCGCGCGTCGACAACGCCGTGCACCTGCCGACCTCCGTGACGGTCCCGACGCTGCTGGACTTTATCATTACAACGGCGGTGGAGCAGCCGCGGACGCCGCTCTTCCACGACGAGCGGGGCAGGCTTGTCCACCTCATGGAGTACTTGGAAAGCTGTGGGGTGCGGGACCCAAGTGAGATCACCGGGCAGGGACTTGGGCTGCAGCCGCTGCCGCAGAGAAACAAGTTTCAGCAGTTCAACGTGCTAGACACAAACCTCAATCCCTCCGGGAACTTTGGCGCCCACCTGCTGCAGGCAATATTCTCCACAACTGGGCCCAAAGACGGCGACCTCTTCGGCGCCCTCATCCGTCCCGAGCTGGAGAAGCGGGAGTTCAAAGACCGGCAGGTGGTGGCGACCGAGATACTCTTCCCGCTCTACGGCCAAAACGCCGAGGAACTGCAAAAGCTTGCGGCATGGGTGCGGCGGCAGGGCTTTAACTCGTTCGAGCTGAACATGTGGACGCTGTGCATTCCACGCTCCGCACCGCTGCGTGGACCCAATGAGCAGCCCGTCACATGCGTCACCCTCGGTGACCAGTTGCGCCACATCTTTTATCCCATGTTCATGGCGACGCTTTACCCCATGGACGTCGCCTGGGCGGACGTGGCCGCCCTGCTGCGCAAAACGGGCGCGATCAGCATTCGCCCTAAGCGCGTTTTTCACACTGAAAACTTCCTGTCCCAGGCTGTAGACCCCGACGACATCAAGTACGGCGACGCGGTGAACGACCACTACTTCTTTTATTACATTTGGGCGAATCTGGCCACACTTAACGCCCTCCGCACGCGTCTCGGCCTGAACACCTTAAATTTTTCTCCCTCCGTCTTTGAGGTGGCGCCGGCGTACGATCAGTTGGTGTCGAGCTTTCTCCTGGCGGATGTGGTGTACCACGCCACCTCGCTGGAAAAGAGCTGGATTATGCAGTATCTCTTTATGTACTGCCGCATCGGGGTCGTCATGTCGCCGCTGCGGGACAACACGCTCCGTATGTCCTACTTCGACCACCCCCTTGTGCGGTACCTGTCGCAGGGGCTGCTGGTGTCCGTGACCACCTCCGACCCGCTGTACTTTCACCACTCCGCCACCCCGCTGGTGGAGGAGTACGCCACCTTGATGAAGCTGCACTCCCTGCTGCCGATGGACGTCTGTGAGCTCGCACGCAACAGCGTGCTCAACAGCAACTTCCCGCTGGAGATGAAGCGGCGGTGGCTGGGGGACGAGTTTCAGGTGGCCGTGAACCGGGGGAACGACATCCGGCGCTCCGGCGTCTGTGACGCCCGTCTGGAGTTTCGCAGCGAGTGCCTCGTCCACGAGGAGACGGTACTGAACCTAGTTCTCTCGCAGGTCTGCAAAAAAGGCGAGCAGCCGGTGTCGCTCTCTTTTCTATCCATGCGAAACCCGGCCCGAATGTCGGCAGAGGAGTCGCACCACTCGCGCGGGGGTTTGCGCCTCAACTACACGGATTGGCGAGTGGTGTACCCGCGCATTGACATCGTTGGGGGCAAAATCCAGGCCTCCGCCACCGACGCCGTGGAGCTGCTGCGCGACGTCATCTCCCTGCGCACGAAGTACGTCAAATCCCACGTCATCGACATCGATGTGAAGGTGGAGGACGTCTTTAACGACTCCAAGTTTGACGAGTCCAAGTGGGAGTACAACAACTACTACGGCGTGTTTCTGCTCTCCCGCATCGGCAAGCCGCCGCCGTGGCCGATGTTTATTCCGCCGGTGCGGGAGTTTATCCGTGACGTGGCGGCCGTGCGAGAGGCGGTCATGAGCCACCGCAATCTGCAGGTCCTTGCCGACCAGCGACTTCAGCTGCTTGAGCGGAAGTTCCTGCTGCATCTTTCGCTGAACATTTCCAAGGAGGCAGGGAGGAAGGAGGAGAAGGAGTGGAACAGCCGCGACTTTTTCACGGCGCACAAGGTCGACACGAATGTACAGACCGCGGCCGGCATGAACGCCCGCACATTGCTGGAGTTTTTCGTTGAAAAGGCGCTCCACCACGGCCATGACGTGGTCTTTGAGGAGGACGACCAGCCCGTCACCCTGCGGCAGATGCTGGAGCGCTGCCAGATCAACGCCACCCGCATTACCGTCGATGAGCTGAACCACCTCATCAGCTCCAATCCGCACATTCGCAACACGTTTTTGGAGGTGGACAACCTCATGAAGGGACGCTACTTTGCGGAGCTGACCAAGCGCACCCTGGAGTTGTACCAGGAGGACGCCTTCAGCTTTTCCGAGAATCGGCTGGTGATTAAGGGGGCTGCGAAGGATGAGTGGTGGAAGTTGGCGCAGTGGTTCGACCGCTACGGCATGGCAAGTCCGCAGAATCGGTGGATGATTAATTTGCCGCGCCAGTACCGCCGCCTCCGACAGGAGGGTGTGGTGCGCAACTTTGGCGAGTACATAGATAACCTGTTCCAGCCGCTGTGGGAGATCAGCCTGCACCCGGCCCAGGACACCAAACTCCACTACTTCCTCACGCACGTGTCGGGGATGGACTGCGTGGGGGATGAGTCCAAGATGGACCTCCCACTCACCGCCACCTACCCGCACGACTGGGACAGCGACCTTAACCCGCCGTACAACCTCTACCTCTACTACTACTGGGCGAACATCACCACCCTGAACGAGTTTCGCGCCTCCCGCGGCCTGGGAACCTTTTCGTTTCGACCGCAGTGCGGCGAGCTGGGCGGGGTGGAGCACCTCATCGGTGGATTTCTGCTCGCCAACGGCATCAACCACGGCGTCACTCTCAGCCAAAACCCGGTTCTCGAGTACATGTATTATATAACGCAACTGGGGGTGGCAATGTCGCCGCTGAGTAACACCGCGGCCGCCTCCGCCTACCTCTCAAACCCGTTTCCGCTCTTCTTTCGCCGCGGCCTTAACGTCAGCCTTGCGACCAATGAGCCGCTCTACTTTCACTTCACGCGGGAGCCGCTGATTGAGGAGTATTCCATCGCGGCCAAAATTTGGCAGTTTGAATTCAATGACCTCTCTGAGATTGCGCGGAATAGCGTGAAAAAAAGTGGGTTTCCGCCTACCTGGAAGGAAAACGCCCTCGGAAGGTTGTACCACCTGAACTCGGCACTCGGCAACGATGTGCGGAAGAGTCGTGTCTCGGACATCCGTGTCGCATATCGCTACGAGGCGTACCACTCGGAGCTGGACTTTCTCTCAGGGCAGCTCTCGGGGGGACGGCAGATGCCGCGGGCGATGCGCCTGCTCGAGGAGGAAATTGCCGTCTACGAGGAGGTCATGCAGACCAAAGTGGTGCTGCCGGCCGTGGCGGACGAGGACGAGGGGCGGGAGGAGACACGCAGCCCAGCGGCCCGGGTAGTGCGGCTCAAGGCAGACTTGGAGGCGCTGGAGCGCGACATGCAGCGCATGCAGTTCCTCACCACGCAGTTGGGGAGCGAAAACCGGGGCATTGTGGAGGCCTTCAACCGGATCCGAGCGAAACTAGCAACGGAGGGCCTTGTTGTGATGGGGAACCTCACCAACCGCCCCGCCTCACAAAGCGCAAACGGCGTCGCAGCCGGCAAGACAAACGACGACGGCAGCGGCAGCGGCGGCGGCGGGGGCGGCGTCCGTGAGAATCACGTCAAGGAGTCTGCCTAAAGGAGCGTAGTCACTGCGCCTCTTTGTAGTGCCGGCATACCCACCCCATGCATGCCGATCGGGCGGAAGATCATTTTGCTTCCCTGTGGATGTAAACAGAGAAATTGATGAAGTGAGAGAGAGAGAGAAAGGGGGGGGAAGTGAAAGCAAAAACGGCGAAACTAGACCCATTTCCTTCGTGCGTGCCATAAAATGGCACAGCTGCCCCTTACTCTTCATCTTTTTCGCCCGCGAAGAGGAGCGGAGGCCATTGCGACTGAGGGGAGGGAATGGGCGGAAAGAAGATCAATGCATTTTTTCTGCGTCCCGCTGTGACGGTGAGTGCAAGGGCCACGAGCGCAACTGGGCAATTTCTTCCTTGGTTGCTGCCACCCCTTTTTTTTTCATTTTAGGCACGTGGCTTGTTCCGCGGCCCTTTCATTCATTCATACATTCATACACACAAAGGCAGGCTCGCAAAGGAATTAGGCGGCAACGGTAATGAAGGCGGCCATGGATGACTTACTTACCGGGTGGCCCGTGAACGACAGGAGGCCGGGGATGCACGGCAATGGGGGGAACCGTTCTCCTTTGCCTAACAGGCAGGAGTTGCGCTCTGCCGGGTCTAACACGGGGGCGGGCCTGGGAAGGGCGCGATTATACGGCTGGCACCCCTCTCACACGTACCCTGATGAGAGTCGTGAGAGGGGCCGGGCTGCGGGCCCGCGCTCTGGCGCATCGGCATTGCGGGTTAAGGAGGAAAACCGCCAGTTGCTGCAGATGTATTCACCGTACTTTTTCCCTGTGAGGCCGACTGTGGCGCGAGGAAGACCCGGCAGCAGGCACTCCTCTAGTGCTGCGTCGGGAAGCGCCCCGCGTCGTTCATGCCACGCTTCCGCGGGGACGTCACGCAGGTCGCGCCTTGTTGCTCGGGAGCAGACGGCTTCAGCTCCTTTGCCAAAGGCTCTGCGGCCGGTGCAGAGTGCGGGAGGTGTTGGTTCGAGAGCTGTGACGCCGCCACGCAAAATGTCTGAGCACCTCCCGCATAGCCCCGGCGGGGCCTTCTTCCATAGTCTCGCACACGCCTCCCAGCAGTGCGGTGGGAACGGCATCGTCCTCCCTGTTGTGCGATGTCAATCTAATAGTGGCGTCATCAATTTGGCCCCGGACGCCCACCCGCGAAACGGCAACGTCTACGGCGGTGGGGCCATAGTCCATCCCTCGGGAAGCGTAAATTTGATGAGCAGCTGTCGTTCCTCTTCCCAAGAGACTTCTAGCGTGAGCCCCGCCAGTGACCCGGCAGTCGTTCCTCCGCGTCAGCTAATGGAGTGGGAGGCCGCCTGCGTGATGGAGACGAGCGCGTCGCAGCGGTGCGTTGCGGTGGCGAAAAAGATGGAGCAGCTAAAGAGTCAGGTGAACGAGGCCGATGGTGCTCTGGAGGCCGTCAAAATGCGCCAGGTTTCGCTTAAAGAGAAGATGCGGTCGTTCGCCGATCTGCAGCTGGAAGTGGGGCGAGAGGAGAAGAAAAGTAGGGAGCTGCGGCGTATAGCGCAGCTGGCGATGAGGCGTGTCGACAGCGCTCAGTCCTTGGAGGCAAAAAACGGCTTGCATGGCGATGCGGCCTCCGATCCGGGGGACTGTGTTGGTGGGGAGCCGATGTCGATGGCCAGCCTTCTCCACCAGCGCGACACACTGCAGCTGGAGCGCGCAGCGCTCAGGCAGGCGGTGCATGCGGCTGCTGCGGAATCTCGTGAGAGATCGACCAGCGGCGCCCCAAATTCTCGCGTCTCGACCCGACTGCATGAAGCCGAGCGGCGAAGGCTTGAGCAGACTGTCGCAATCCTACAGGATCGGGAGCGACGACTGAAGGCGCGAGCCCGGCTCTCCGGGCTGCGCGCAGATCGTATGATGGGACAAGTTGAAGAACTTCGAGCCACAATGCGTCAGAAAAAGGTGCAAGGCCTCAGGAAGGTTGTGGAGAGTTCCGACACCGCATCTTTTCCTGGAAGCCTTCAGGACGTAACCACCACGACAAACCCAGTGGGGAGCTGCTTCATCACAGAGTTGGAGGCCTGACGCGTTTTCTATTTGAATATGATAAACGGACTGACTCTTCTTAATATGCTCTTTTCTTCGAGTCATGTATATATATATATATGTCTATCTATCTATCTATCTATCTATCTGCTCATCTCTGCCTATGGGCGTGAGTGAGTCTCTGTGTGTGTGTGCGAGAGAGAGAGAGCGAGGTGTGATACGGTCTAATGCTGACCATTTTTCTTCTTGTTTTTGTTTGCCTTTGACCGCATTTCTCATGCCACATAGTCGCCGCGAAACTGCACCTCCCTTTTCTCTTTTTGCTTGATATGTATATATACACATTTATACATATATTGTTTTATCTTGGT